CTGTTCATTGTATAGACCATGATGCACGAGATGCTTCTTCACTGCTCGGATTAGGGATAGAGGGATCCGATCAGCTGGGTTTGCAGCACAGTTGGGCAGGTGAAGGACAGGGCATTCGAAGTCCCGATGACCACTGCCAAACATATGGGTGGTAATTACATTGATTAATTGAATGTGATCATTCGTCCAGTCACCCATTCCTATATCACTGGCCTCCCCATTACAAAAATTGCCCGCTTAGTTCGTATTAGCGTTGCTAGTTTAGTTGCCCTCGAGAATCATTTGTTCGACTGCCATAACCGAATTCTACCAAATTCCTATCGGCCTTACTCTAAGATTCATGCGTCATCATTCTCACATCCTTGCTCGCATTACGTTCACATTTCATGTATTCACCCAAATTTAATTGGTAGCCCCCGAAATTCCCTCCGATAGTGTTAGGCGTCTTACAAACCATGGTCTCCCCGGCGAGATAAATGTCTCTTTCCGAAATCCATATGCATGCTCCGCTAACCGGCGACAAAGATACTTATCGCAGGGCCGTCCAGAATAATTATACACAAATATCCACCCTACTAATTTATGGGATTCACTACACGTCCGATAGACTTATGGTACACACATACACGATTTATATCCGACTTATCTCTCTACCGGGAGAGATTACCTATGCCCTCTTCCGGTCCGCGTGTAACATTCCCGTTCACGACCCAGGGACCACCGTTCATATCCTGGAACTCTCCTCAGGAACTCTCCTTAAACCATGGGATTTACTCTTCAAGGCCTTACGTGTCCTGGAGTACATTCTTCCCTCCCCTGAGGCTGTCCAGTACCGATTAAGGTACCTTTACAAAATAAGTATGAGGACTTATTCGGGACACTACGGCGCGCCTTATCCGCACTTTTGGGTGACTCACCCCTGACCCTCGGCTTCTTGCCTTTGGCATAACTTACTCTCCACTGCACACTGTGCCAATCTTCCCCTTCCCCCTGCCGTAGAAACCTCTCACTGCCTTCTCACCCAGTGTTACCTAAGCGGGAAAATTAACAGTGGCCGGTACCACTGGCGGAAAACGTGCATATGCCCTGCGTACGTGACGGCGTGTCCCTATTATTATTCCGGTCTGGACGTGGGTTTAGAGAAGTGCATCTGTGTCTCATACGGTCATGCTGGTAAACGCTACGCCATAGGAGACGGGCAAACAAGCCGTCTGTGCCTCACAATGCCCTGTGCCAATATTGGTGGAGTAATTATTGGCGCTAACTCTCAAGAACGCGAATAACAGAAACGCATCTAATCGTAATCTCAAGTCCTAATTGCTGCTGCACGCGTGAACCTAATCATCAGTTCTCGTAAACAATCCTAGCAGACCTTGAACCGCTCTTGATTTCATCAGATAATCTAGAACCAATTAGTACGCACCGATCTGTCGTCTGGTTGTGATCCACCGTATCATAGTGAATTGCTGAATGCTCAAACGGAAATGACTCCTTGAAACTCGTTCGATAGCTTCTGATGGGCTACTAGTTACCTAAACAAATTATCTTTATAGAGTGCCAGAATATTGTCATAGGGTCCCTAGCCTTTCATAGGGAATCTATTTTAAATCATCCTATTAGCAGTAAACAATGCGCATCAAACGAAGTGCAGTCCTAAATATCAAATAGCATGTCATATTTAAAATTATGCATTAACTGTTTACGTTCTTACCCCGTTGCAACTTTCCACAACTAACCATGCTCCTATATACAATGACCTTCACCTACCGCCCGCGCCCCAATTACGGCTAACCCACTGCCCCTGTTGTGGCTGCTTTTTACGCCCTCTGGCGGCTCAACGCCCGCGTCGAGAGCGACGATACTGGCCGCCGGCTGGCGTCGCGTCGACAGTCAGTCAAGGCCACGCCGCGATGGGCGCGTCATCACTCGCGGTGCAATGCTCGTGCGTGTTGTCTCTTCTGGCCGGGTGGATTCACCGGATGTGTCAGTGAGTGTGAATCTGGTAAAATATCGCTGCAATATCTCCCTGTTCGACATCTCATCAGCTCCATTCAACGTAAGTTTTTTTTTTAAATTAAATTCCTGTCCCATTTAATCGTTCCCCAACAAAGGTGGTCCTTTCTAGTATTTATTCTACAAAAGCACAACGATCGGCACCTATATTAGTCGCATATTAGTTCTAACCACAAACAATTCTACATCTACCTGTTACTCGACATTTCGCAATTTCAATGACGCAAAGTGACCATCTAAAGTCGCTAAGTGTCAAACCGTCAACCTCAAACCACTGCTCGCAACTCTGCACCTAAGTAACAGAAGAAATTCCGCCGTAAGCTCAAGCATTCGTATCTGTCGGAAACCATAACTCATAGCCATATTCATAGATCGATCGCATGAATCAGTCGCCACCTTAAAACATTACATTCCCTTTCAACCGTATTTACCTGTTCTATAATTGATTTCGACTTCGCAATTAATTCCTACAGCAATATTACCAATGATTTCGCAATGCAACTTTTAGTGAGTACAGCACGAATCTAAACCCTTAATTTCACAAACGTTCCAACCTCAAAACGCACCTGGCCATCGCCCATAATAAATCGAACGAACCAGCTTGACCGAAGACAAAGACATTTCAACGCTGTCACACATCCAGTCATCAATCTCAACGTTCGTGACCATGAGCTGCTTATTCAAATTTTAGCCTCTCGCTCTGGGCCTAATCGTGAACTCCAACTGACAATAACGGTTTGCTGGCGACTCTGACATGACTTCGAAATTCAGATCCTAATATGCTACTAGGGTGTCTGGACCAATAAGCTCAAAGTAATTTAAGTTTTCCAATTCCAATTGAGAGTGCATTTTATGGCAACCGAAAATGTTTGGCAGTCGTCACGGCACGGCAACCGGGCAGAGGGGGGGGGGGGGTCAAGGATTGGGATTGAGCAGACTTTTCAACAACACTCACATTCTGGAGTTTCTCTGCGCTTCCGCTTCTCAGTGTGGTCACAAGCGTCGGCTACTGTCCTCGGTTCTGATCACTCGAACTGAAGAGGCTTCTCGCGGGTGACCCCGGACTGACGGCGGCCTCCAGATGGCGTCTCCGGCTCCGGCTGCAGACTGTGACTCTCGGCTGCTCGACTGTGATTCTCCCTCTGGTTGGGTGGCGCACCCTTTTATAGTTGGGGGGGGGGGAGGGGTGACTGCCACGCCCTTGCGACGTCATCTTCCTCTGCCTTCTTCTGGTGGGTGGGGCCGTAAGATGGCGCCCTCTGTCCTGTTTAGTCACCTTGCTCCTCTGTGCCTGCAATTTTTGGCCGTCGAATCGTCTTCGTGTTGAGTGCTTTATCATTTTAGTAATCGCTGACATAAAACAATCCACGAAAGGTTTGTGATTTTCGAGTTTTAATTTTGATTCTTCAATTTCATTTTATTCAAACTTTTGTTTCCTTCCGTTTCGTCTGCCGCCAACGCCCCTGTGACGTCACTCTTGCTCCGCCCACCGTACCGGGGCGTGGCCGTAAGTCAGCGCCTTCTTCCTCTGCGGAGATCTCTGGAACTACCTCATGAGGCCATTGTGAGGTCGGTCACCCGGCTATTTTGCCAGGTTCACTCACCCTGGGTTGCTGTGCCCGACAAAGGAGGCTGTGTGCTCCAGCCGGCATCCATCCTTGACACTGCTCCATGATCTGCTGACATATCTTACTGATCCAGCGTTATTTGAGGAGGCTCGGATCGCTCATCCTGCGGTAGCTGTCTCCATAGGCGAGCGTCGTAATGAGAGTTTAACGGCTGCCCATTGCGAAGACCTCTGGAACTACAGCGTTTTTGCTTGCCGTAGGATCTTTCTGGTTTTGCCATTCCCTCCGTGGGACTCAGCGCGGCGCAGCTGTTGTGGTACCTGACAGAGTACGTGACAAGTGACAGAGTACCTTAACGTGCTCGCTCGCCGCCGCCGCCGGCCGCAGTTCTGACGTAGCTTGTTGACTCAGCTGTGCCTCGGCGGTTCGTACTGATGTGACCGGCATCGTCTTCTCGCAGATGTGTCTACTGCGGGCTATTCTCACGGACAGTGCTCGTTGAGGGAGTTGGGGAAAAGTGCTGAATGGGGATGGCGGGCCTGGTGACGGGGGGGGGGTAGTGAATAATGAGAGGGGAGGAGAGCGCAGCAGCAGCGCTCCGCTCAGCTGTGCGTCACCCGGTAGCAGCGACGGGTGTGTGAATGGAGGGCTAGGCCTGTGACCGGACTGCGAGGGGGGGGGGGGGGAACTGCCGGACCAAGCCGTGCCGAAAAGATTCTACGTTAAATGTTAAAGATGTAGCGTGCTACACATTTCCCATTGGCGGCGGAACACCTTCAATTAAGGGGGGGGGGGCACTGCCGACTTTTGGTCTATTCTTTCCATGCAACGCCCATAGGGCTAATGTTAAAATGCCAAAATCAAAGAGGGGGCACGGTGCCTCGGTGCCCCCTCGTTTCGCTGCCTATTCCATTTCCCCTATCCCATATTCCCCTCATCTCCGTTGTTCCCGACACATATAGCGGGTCGCCAGCGCTCAGTTACATCATCCATGTCCCTGGTGGGCACGGAATGTGACCGCCCGGCGCCAACCTCCCGGGAGCTGCACACCCACAGCCTGCAGACGGCAGCGCCGCCGCTCGGCCGCTGTCAGTGCGACCAGTGAGGGACTCGGGCTCGTGCTGGGCTGCGCTCTGTGCCGAGGGGTGGGGTGAAGCCATGATGTCCGTGGTGCTGTGGGAGGAGGTGCAATGTACGGTAAGTGGTGGTGAGGACATGGGGAAATGAGTGGTACCTATAAGGTATAAGAGATTGGTAATAGTGTTGGAGCGTGTACCATCTCATGTATGCTGGCTTCTCACCACCCTCAGGCTTCCTAAACTAGCAAGTGTTCCCTTCATTCGTCTCTAGTATCAAGACCGCAAATATCCATGTGTGTTTTTTAAATCTTATCATCACCGTATTTCTCTGTGTCTCCAGGTAGCGCCGAAGCCGGACTCGGCGCCGGCGCCGTCACCCAAGGAGCCTCCTCCGGCACCGCCCAAGACGGTCCTCTCCCGGAGTTCGGCCCCTCCTCCGCCGCGCCGCTCCGACTCCGAAGTCACCCCCGCCAGGCCAGGCCGACCCGAAGAACCTCCGCTCGTCAGACCCAACAAGGCAGATGACCAGAACCGCGAGCGGCAGGCGCGGGAGAGGAGTCGCCGTCAGCTGGATGGATATGTGGGATTCGCTGACCTGCCCAACCAGGTGCACAGGAGAGCTGTCAAGAAAGGCTTCCATTTTACATTGATGGTAGTCGGTGAGTGGAGGAGAGGGGGAGGAGTGGAGGGTGGGAGGAATGGGATTGGTTGATCGGGGGAAGTAAACGGTTGATAAAGAATAACGGGGAGTTAGAAGGCAGTAAATGATAGGTTAAGGGATACTTAAAGGGATACCTGTAGTGTCAGGATCAGGTCAGATCAAGGGATATAAGGGGCATCTAGCGTTAAAAGATTGCTGTTACTTTGTTTATATCAGTTTATTTTATTTGCACTGACTTAAATTTGAGCGGAAGAAAACCATGCAAAACGAATCGCAAATGGGAAACCAGGGGGAGATAACTATTTTTAGAAAAGCGACATAATAAAACGACAATCAGCGACCATGCCTGACCATTCGCTCTCAAGCGAATCGTTGCTGAGCATGGCCGCCAATGTGCCGGGCAGTCGCCACTCCTGAGTCGTTGTTGACGTCCCATGTGGCCCTCAGCCAGCGCTCTTCATAAACAACGGTGCATGGCTGGTCCAGAACTGGGGAGGGGCGCACCACGACGACACAGTGGTAGCCGGGGGAGGGAGGGTGGGGGCGGTACCCTGGAGGGGTCAGGGGCGCCGATCCGTCGGTGTTTACGCCCGCTCACATCGACCGAATCGGAGTGATGATCGGAACTGGGATGGGGCGGGATGATGATGGAGACGCTGCCTAAATGGGCTGAGTTTTCCCGATGAAACTTTATAGGTAAACTCGGCTTCTCTAGCAGGTACTAGACTCGTATTTCTTCTGAAACTGCAAAACTTGAAACAGAACGGTGCATGTAACGGTAGGCTCTTCAAATGTTTCAAAAGATAAGACCCTGCCTTTTTTGGAACTTTGCATTCTGAAATACCTATATCGCGCGAGGTGTTTAGTAGTGCAAGTTACTATTGAACGAAATGTCAGATGTGGTGTCTCATCCTGAGTATTGTGATATTTGCTGTCTTTTTCAGGCGAGTCTGGCCTGGGAAAATCGACTCTAGTCAACTCAATGTTCATGTCAGATATATACAACAAAGAATATCCCGGACCTTCACATCGAATCAAGAAGACGGTGGCGGTAAGCGGGGACATGGGTGGACGCACTAAGGTCCAATGTTTGGACCCTCGATATAATATTCTTCACTTTGAAGCTCAATATAGAAGAGCTGCTCTTGGCCTTTTGACCCTTGCTAAGATGCTCTTTGCATTACTGTGCGCGTCTCTGTGAATTTAGAGTAAATAAACGTCTACGGAAATAGTAAAATGCTATAGAAAAGTTACTTGTTTAAAATTGTAGGTACCCAATACTCGCTGCTGAGACGCATTATATTCAACTTAGCCAAGTGTAGTAAAAACAACTGACATCTTGAAGCATCCATTTCCAACCCACTTGCTGTATTCATCGATACGCACTACTCAGGCTTTTGATGCAATGTCGATAAAATCGACATTTGATTGGCGTTCAACAAATCACCATACCGATACCGCTCTTGACAGGTGGAGAAGACGATAGTGAAGTTAACGGAGAACAGCGTCAACCTAAACCTCACTGTGGTCGACACACCCGGCTTCGGAGACGCAGTGGACAACAGTAACTGGTGGGTATCGCTCCCGGGGCGCCTGGGGAGGCTGGGGAAGCTGCAGGAGGGGGGTCCGGCCGGCCGGAGCTGACGGCCGCATAACTTCAGTCGGGAATGTGATGGCCAGGCACTGGATGGTTATGTATCTCACGTGGCAGGGAGACGGCCAATGAGTCAGTCTGGAAATGTTTGGACATCTAGCCTTGTTTTGTCTGGGCGCCACAGACGGCGCCGACTTTTGATTACCGCTAAGCAACTGCCCTCATCGGTCGTAATCTGGTAAAATTTAGACCAGAGGCGGCAGTTTGACTTTGTGACCCAGCGGGCTGTCATTTTGACCTCATCTCTTAGTGGCCTTGTGAAGTTGATTAGGGATATTGTAGCATGTCTGGTGCTTGTGCGCTCCATAAACGTTTCTCTTCTGAGAAAGGTCACGGTGGCTTATGTGGATTACGTTTGGCTAAAATAATTAATGCAGATACGCGAAGAATCCTTAAAATGTTCACTTCACTATGCGAGAGAAGTGGTATGAACTGCAAGTGTAACGTGAACAAATAGATTTTCGTAGTAACAAATAAATTCATTCAAAGTTTTCAAAATTTGCAATCCCGAGGGCTGAGCGGCTGATGGAACACCAAAATTTACCGCTCATGAGCGACTGGTCAGCGGCGGCGGCGGTTGTTTCACATGTTTTATTTTTGTTTCAGAGTGGTGCCTCGAGTTAAGCGATTGCGCTTTTGCACCACTCTGCTATCACTTTTATGTTGCTACATTGTGCCATATGTTTCATTGATCATGCTTTATTTCTCGTGTATCTTTTGTTCCTTAATAAACGTTTTGTGTGTGTGTGTGTGTGTGTGAATAGACGGTAAATTATTTTATCAGTGTTTTATTTTAGCGTCAAGCTAATGTGTCACGCAAATTCATCTTCAGTATCGCATCACAGTTATGTTGCATATGCATTGTTCAGTTCATGAAACAGCTCAGATGATATGTTGTCATCTTGGTGGAGTATATTTGTTTGACTTGTATTGTACAGATACTCTGTCTACCATACCGCGCTATAAAGCAGTTGAGAGTCGCAGTATTCACTAAACCGTACCGTACGCAGCTAACGCCCCGCGTACCGTACCGTACCGCAGCTGGCAGCCGGTGATCGAGTACATCGAGTCCCGGTACGAGGAGTACCTGAACGCCGAGAGTCGGGTGTACCGCACTGAAGTGGTCGACACTCGGGTACACTGCTGTCTGCACTTCCTCGCTCCCTCCGGACATGGTCTCAAACCTCTGGATGTCGAGTTCATGAAGAGGTTACATGACAAAGTCAACATCGTGCCCGTCATCGCCAAGGCTGACACCATGACCCCGGAGGAGGTCATCAGGTTCAAAAAACAGGTAAGCGTGCGATGGTAAGGCGTTAGCACTCAGCACTAGCACTAGTTTAGTGCTAACTAAACACTAGACTGAGTGTTTAGTTAGCACTAAACACTCAGTCTAAACACTAACTACCATTATAAAGCTGCACTAGCACTCAGTCAGCAATCGGCACCAAAATAAGATTCATAGAGATGGGTTGAAATTAGGCAGAAATCGTATTCAAGTAAGAAATCGCTATCATTGCTGGGTGTTGTGTGACGATATGAATGGCACCTTTGTGGTGCACCACACACATCAGCGAGACATGATAAGCCCTGATTGGTTTGATAAGGATAGTTTATGACAGATCCCTGAGCACCGCGACTCATATTAGTTTACCGCCATCAGGTGGCCAAACACGAGTAGTGTGCCATTACTGGCGGACTCTGCAGTGCTGATGATTAGTCTTATTTGGCTTTTTCACGCGATTGCTCATTATACAAATCATGCTCTGGTATTTTAATGTAAAAGTAAAAGCGCTCGTCTTGTTGCAGCTTTGCTTACATGATTCAGATAATGAAATGCTTGAAACGGACAGACCTTTCATATACCAAACAACTAATGATTTAGTATTTATCATAGGTATGTTTTTATCTCCCCACCAGATTCTGAACGAGATCGCGCAGCACAAAATCCGCATTTACGAGTTTCCCGATTGTCCAACTGACGAGGACAGCGGCCTTCAGAGGGCGATGAGACAGCGAGTGCCGTTCGCCGTGGTAGGAGCCAACACCGTGCTGGAGGTAAGGAAGAGTGGGAGAGAAAGAAAGAGAGAAAAAGGGGGAGAGAGAGGACGGGGAGAGAGAAACAGAGAGAGAGAGAGAGAGAGAGAGAGAGAGAGAGAGAGAGAGAGAGAGAGAGAGAGAGAGAGAGAGAGAGTGAGAGAGAGAGAGAGAGAGAGAGTGAGAGAGAGTGAGAGAGAGAGAGAGAGAGAGAGTGAGAGAGAGAGAGAGAGAGAGAGAGAGAGAGAGAGAGAGAGAGAGAGAGAGAGAGAGAGAGAGAGAGAGAGAGAGAGAGAGAGAGAGAGAGAGAGAGAGAGAGAGAGAGAGAGAGAGAGAGAGAGAGAGAGAGAGAGAGAGAGAGAGAGAGAGAGAGAGAGAGAGAGAGAGAGAGAGAGAGAGAGAGAGAGAGAGAGAGAGAGAGAGAGAGAGAGAGAGAGAGAGAGAGAGAGAGAGAGAGAGACGGGGAAGGAGAAAGGAGAGACAGAGAGACGGGGAAGGAGAGACGGGGAAGGAGAGACGGGGAAGGGAGAGGGAAGGGGAGAGGGATAGGATGTTACAGATGGACGCAGGGGTTGGAGGAAGACGGGAAGATAGAGGAGTCGAATGGTATAGATGTAGCGAGATGTGTGCTGTTTTATCGCCGTTATGCTGTTTGATTTGGTTTTATTCTCCGGATATGTAACTCGTTATAGCGCTGTTGTAACATATGGGACGTTGTTTTATACCAACCCGTTTGTCCGCTTTGTCTGAACAGGTGGACGGCCAGAAGGTGCGCGGTCGTCGCTACCCGTGGGGCGTGGTGCAGATCGAGAACATGGAACACTCCGACTTCATCCCGCTCAGAAACATGCTGGTACGTAGTGCAGACGGTCTACAATACATATGACGGACCGGAACGATCAACATTCCGCTGCGGCTGCACGTCTATCCAACGGTTGCGTGTTGCAATTTGGAAGTTCACTCTTTTAAAGAGATAAACAATGAGATGAACTTACTTGCTTTATTCATAAATCATTAAATAGTTCATTAGTAAGAACTGTGTAACAATCGCTCACATTACACGCTTTTGTGAAGGCTGAATCATTGTTCCACCTTGGTAAGACGCGATACCCAGTCAATGCCCTATGCAATATGCATGGCACATCTTCCTGCGCCCTCCCCCCCCCTAGAGCAGGATCACCATAAACCACAATATTTTCCCGCAGATTCGGACTCACATGATGGACTTGCGAGACGTCACAAATGCAGTGCACTACGAGAACTTCCGTTGTAAACGGCTGGCTGGACTTGGCACGGATGGAAAGCCAGCCAAGATCGTCAACAAGTGAGCGCTGTTGGCTTTACACACGGACAATAGAGCTTACATACTTACTAACAGATGGCAGCAGCATAAACGCCCGTAGCTAGACTGTGCCGCACGACACTGAAACGCCTGCAGCTAGGCTGCGCCGCCGGGCTCTAACGCCTGTAACTGTAGGCTGTGCCGCACGGCACTGAAACGCCTGTAGCTAGGCTGTGCCGCACGGCAGCGCGTCATTTTCTGGAATAAGATGTCTTCTATGCTGTTTGCCGTCCAGTAGCGTGAATTGTGATCCTGCCTTAAGCCAATAATCAATGATCATGGCACACAGGTATCTGATATCACCTTGATCTAAGTACTCGTACACCGATGAAGCATATTATGTCAGAATGCCAAACTTATCAACCAGTATGCTAATCATGGCCATGCACAATGTTAATAAGCAATTGCTCGAGTGTATGCTATGAAGTACGAATTGATTATAACCTAAAAATACATTTTTAGGAACCCTATCGCCCAGATGGAAGAGGAGAAGCGGGAACACGAGCTCAAGGTGAAAAAGATGGAGGCCGAAATGGAGCAGGTGTTCGAGATGAAAGTCAAAGAAAAGAAGAACAAGCTCAAGGAATCCGAGGCTGACGTAAGTCACGGTTCAAACCCATTCAATGAACCGAGTTCTTGAACTAAAGAGGTACACACAACCAGTTCGTATTGCCTAATGTCGCTCAATGGTTATGGAATTGCTCTAAATCGTAAACCTCGTAGTGCCATGCGCTACCTCGCTTTATCGAGTCGCTTTGCTGCTCTTGGTGCATATCTGTCGTTTGGTTCCGAGTTCATCCAACCTCTGTTGACAGTTGACACCTTATAACCCAACCCACGAATACTTTCCTCCTGCACACAACAGCTCTGTTCTGCCACCTCCCCGCCGCTGACCAGTAGCCCCCCCCCCTCCCCCAGCTCGCTCGGCGCGAGGAACAGATGCTAGCACCCCTAGAGGAGCAGCGGCGGGAGCTGGAACAGGAGAAGGCCGCCTTCCAGCGAGAGAAGGAGGAGTGGGAGCGGCTGAACGGCATCACACTGGACCAGCTGCGCCGACGGGAACTCGAGTCCAACAGCAAAGAGTAAGTGGTGACGTTTTCGTGGATGGAGCGAGAGGACTTTCTCAGGTAGGAAAACGACAATATTGCTGACCTTTAGTCATATAGCTTATGAACAAATTGAGACGGGGCGGTTGATATGCGGCAGTATGCCTTTTCGTGATTTTTCATTGTTAGTATGATCAAGATTCTACCTGCACCCTGTAAGAACAATGACTATTACACAAACCTTGCCTACTCTGAACCGACCTGGCCATCCAAGTTGTGTGTGTGTGTAAGAGTATTTTCCACTTCTCACGAAATCCCCTCTCGCTATACCCGCTGTCGCCATGCTGACTTGCCTTCTGCAATCGTCTACAGTCCTTCCCGGTGCCGTGGCCTTTCCCAGTCAGCCCTCTCACCGTTCCCCCTGGTCCGTGGGGTCTATCACCTTGTAGTAACCTCGCTCTAACCGTCACCGCGTTCGCCGGGTCCTACCAACAGCAGCGGTCTCTGTGAGAGCGTGGCCAGCCTGGCCGCTCCCGGGGCCGGGTCGCGCGCTCTGAGGCGCAGCCAGTCACTCTCAGCTCGACAGAGGCTGTCTGTCCGTCTTCATCGCCCGCCAGAGAATTGTCAACAGCAGTGAACGCGCTAAACCACAGCTTACTGAATGAGCGAGAGCTAACAGAGGAACTCATAGAGTCCGTAAACTAGATTCTTTTCGGAGAGTTATCCTGGGATTCGTTGCGAGATTTATTCGTGTAAATAGGTATCGATTCGCGAATCGCTGGCGGGAGTTGTATGCTGCTGGATGTTCGTCTTAGAACCTTCCAGAAAACATTTTACAGGGTGTGACACTCGATGGTGCGTTGATTTTTAGACAACTACGATTGTTTGTGCGCTTAGATGAGGAACAGATCTGAGGAGCTTGTGCAGCTGTGATTTTGAACCTGAGTCTTGTAGCGAGGTAATTTAGAGAAAAGAAGAAAGAAGGAATAAAAAAGCTGCATCTTCTTTGCGGTTCATCAAATACTGCGGTCCACTGTTGTTCGGCTGTTGTAGCAGAGAGAATAATTCGTTGCTGTAATGCTGTCGGTAGTAGAGCTGGTGAACTAGTAGAACAGGGGAGCTTGAGAGTCTTGGAAAAGATCCCGAGAGGGATCTAGAGAGAGATACAGGTAGTGATGAAGATGAGATCCTGAGATAGCTATAGGGAGGGATCCAGATAGTGATGAGATCCTGATAGAGATCTCAAGACCCGCCTGAGGGAGATGTAGAGATCCTGAGATGGAGATGAGATCCACCGGAGGATGATGTAGATATAGATCCACCTTGCGTACAAATACATCTGATGGAAGATGCTTTTAATTTAGAGGCTTGATGATTCTGTTCATTGTATAGACCATGATGCACGAGATGCTTCTTCACTGCTCGGATTTGGGATAGAGGGATCCGATCAGCTGGGTTTGCGGCACAGTTGGGCAGGTGAAGGACAGGGCATTCGAAGTCCCGATGACCACTGCCAAACATATGGGTGGTAATTACATTGATAAATTGAATGTGATCATTTGTCCAGTCACCCATTCCTATACTGGCCTTCCCATTAAGAAAATTGCCCACTTAATTCGTATTAGCGTTGCTAGTTTTAACTGCCCTCGAGAATCATTTGTTCGACTGCCGTAACCGAACTCTATCAAATTCCTATCGGCCTTATTCTAAGATTCATGCGTCGTCATCCTCACACCCTTGCTCGCATTACGTTTGCATTTCATGTATTCACCCAAATTTAATTGATAGCCCCCGAAATTCCCTCCGATAGTGTTAGGCGTCTTACAAACCAGGGTCTCCCCGGCGAGATAAATGTCTCTTTCCGAAATCCATATGCATGCTCCGCTAACCGGCGACTAAGATACTTATCGCAGGGCCGTCCAGAATAATTGCAAAAATATCCACCCTGCTAATTTATGGGATTCACTACACGTCCGATAGACTTATGGTACACATATACGCGATTTACATCCGACTTATCTCTCTATCCGGGAGAGATTACCTATGCCCTCTTCCGGTCCGCGTGTAACACCTCCGTTCACGACCCAGGGACCACCGTTCATATCCTGGAACTCTCCTCAGGAACTCTCCTTAAACCATGGGATTTACTCTTCAAGGCCTTACGTGTCCTGGAGTACATTCTTCCCTCCCCTGAGGCTGTCCAGTACCGATTAAGGTACCTTTACAAAATAAGTATGAGGACTTATTCGGGACACTACGGCTCGCCTTATCCACACTTTTGGGTGACTCACCCCTGACCCTCGGCTTCTTGCCTTTGGCATAACTTACTCTCCACTGCACACTGTGCCAATCTTCCCCTTCCCCCTGCCGTAGAAACCTCTCACTGCCTTCTCACCCAGTGTTACCTAAGCGGGAAAATTAACAGTGGCCGGTACCACTGGCGGAAAACGTGCATATGCCCTGCGTACGTGACGGTGTGTCCCTCTTATTATTCCGGTCTGGACGTGGGTTTAGAGAAGTTCATCTGTGTCTCATACAGTCATGCTGGTAAACATTACGCCATAGGAGACGGGCAAACAAGCCGTCTGCGCCTCACAATGCCCTGCGCCAATATTGGTGGAGTAATTATTGGCGCTAACTCGTAAGAACGCGAATAACAGAAACGCATTATTTATCCAACCTAATCGTAATCTCAAGTCCTAATTGCTGCTGCACGCATGAACCTAATCACTAGTTCTCGTATACACTCCTAGCAGACCTTGAACCGCTCTTGATTTAATCAGATGATCTAGAATTAATTAGTACGCACCTAGGTATCTGTCGTCTGGTTGTGATCCACCGTATCATAGTGAATTACTGAATGCTCAACGGAAATGACTCCTTGAAACTCGTTCGATAGCTTCTGATGGGCTACTAGTTACCTATACAAATTATCTTTATAGTGCCAGGATATTGTCATAGGGGTCCCTAGCCTTTCATAGAAAATATAATTTAAATCATCCTACTAGCAGTAAACATCAAACGAAGTGCAGTCCTAAATATCAAATAGCATGTCATATTTAAAATTATGCATTAACTGTTTACGTTCTTATCCCGTTGCAACTTTCCACAACTAACCATGCTCCTATACAATGACCTTCACCTACCGCACGCGCCCCAATTACGGTTAGCCCACTGCCCTACTGTGGCCGCTGCTCCACTCCCGACGCTGCTCTCATGTGCCATCTAGCGGCGCACGGTCCCGCGTCGCGAACGACGATTACCACGGCTGCCGGCCGGCGCCGCGTCGACAGTCGACAGTTGTCAAGGCCGCGCCGCGATGGGCGCGTCATCACTCTCGGTGCAGTACTGGTGTGTGCGGTCTCTTCGGGCCGGGTAGATTCAACGAATGTGTCAGTGAGTGTGAATCTGGTAAAATATCGCTGCAATATCTCCCTGTTCGACATCTCATCAGCTCCATTCAACGTAAGTTTTTTTTTAAATTAACTTCCTGTCCCATTTAATCGTTCCCCAACTAAGGTGGTCCTTTCTAGTATTTATTCTACAAAAGCACAACGATCGGCACCTATATTAGTCGCATATTAGTTCTAACCACAAACAATTCTACATCTACCTGTTCCTCGACATTTCGCAATTTCAATGACGCAAAGTGACCATCTAAAGTCGCTAAGTGTCAAACCGTCAACCTCAAACCACTGCTCGCAACTCTGCACCTAAGTAACAGAAGAAATTCCGCCGTAAGCTCAAGCATTCGTATCTGTCGAAAATCATAACTCATAGCCATATTCATAGATCGATCGCATGAATCAGTCGCCGCCTTAAAACATTACATCCCTTTTCAACCGTATTTACCTGTTCTATAATTGATTTCGACTTCGCAATTAATTCCTACAGCCATATTACCAATGATTTCGCAATGCAACTTTTAGTAAGTACAGCACGAATCTAACCCTTAATTTCACAAACGTTCCAACCTCAAAACGCACCTGGCCATCGCCCATAATAAATCGAACGAACCAGCTTGACCGAAGACCAAGACATTTCAACGCTGTCACGCATCCTGTCATCAATTTCAGCGTTCGTGACACTGAGCTGCTTATGTAAATTCTCGGATCTCGCTCTCGGCCTAATCGTGAACTCCAACTGACAATAACGGTTTGCTGGCGACTCTGACATGACTTCGAAATTCAGATCCTAATATGCTACTAGGGTGTCTGGACCAATAAGTTCAAAGTAATTTAAGTTTTCCAATTCCAGTTGAGAGTGCATTTTATGGCAACCGAAAATGTTTGGCAGTCGTCACGGCACGGCAACCGGGCAGAGGGGGGGGGGTCAAGGATTGGGATTGAGCAGACTTTTCAACAACACTCACATTCTGGAGTTCCTCTGCGCTCGAACTGAAGAGACTTCTCGCGGGTGACCCCGGACTGACGGCGGCTCCCAGATGGCGTCTCCGGCTCCGGCTGCAGACTGTGACTCTCGGCTGCTCGACTGTGTCTCTCTCTGGTTGGGTGGCGCACCCTTTTATAGTTGGGGGGGGGGGAGGGGTGACTGCCACGCCCTTGCGACGTCATCTTCCTCTGCCTTCTTCTGGTGGGTGGGGCCGTAAGATGGCGCCCTCTGTCCTGTTTAGTCACCTTGCTCCTCTGTGCCTGCAATTTTTGGCCGTCGAATCGTCTTCGTGTTGAGTGCTTTATCATTTTAGTAATCGCTGGCATAAAACAATCCCCGAAAGGTTTGTGATTTTCGAGTTTTAATTTTGATTCTTCAATTTCATTTTATTCAAACTTTTGTTTCCTTCCGTTTCGTCTGCCGCCAACGCCCCTGTGACGTCACTCTTGCTCCGCCCACCGTACCGGGGCGTGGCCGTAACGCAGCGCCTTCTTCCTCTGCGGAGATCTCTGGAACTACAGGTCATTGCTTGCGGCTTGTTGTGGAGGTCACCTTGAAGTCGTTCTGCCGGGTCGCTCACCCTGGGTTGCTGTACACCGACAAAGGAGGCTATGTGCTCCAGCCGGCCTCCATCCTTGACACTGCTCCATGATCTGTTGACATCTTTTGCTGATGCAGCGTTATTTGAGGAGGTTCGAATCGCTCATCCTGCGGTAGCTGTCTCCATAGGCGGGCGTCGTAATGAGAGTTTAACGGTTGCCCATTGCGAAGACCTCTGGAACTACTGCGTTTTTGCTTGCCATAGGATCTTCCTGGTTGTGCCATTCCCACCATGTGACTCAGCGCGGCGCAGCTGTTGTGGTACCTGACAGAGTACGTGACAAGTGACAGAGTACCTTAACGTGCTCGCTCGCCGCCGCCGCCGGCCGCGGTCCTGACGTAGCTTGTTGACTCAGCTGTGCCTCGACGGTTCGTACTGATGTAGGCGGCATCGTCTTCTCGCAGATGTGTCTACTGCGGCTATTCCCACGGACAGTGCTCGTTGCGGGAGATGGAGAAAAGTGATATGTGGGGATGGTGGGCCTGGTGACTGGGGGGGGGGGGGGGGGTGAATAATGAGAGGGGAGGGGAGCGCAGCAGCAGCGCTCCGCTCAGCTGTGCGTCACCCGGTAGCAGCGATGGGTGAGTGAATGGAGGGCTAGGCCTGTGACCGGACTGCGAGGGGGGGGGGGGAGACTGCCGGACCAAGCCGTGCCGAAAAGATTCTACGTTAAATGTTAAAGATGTAGCGTGCTACAGTCTCCTGTCCTCCGTCCACGGTGAACCCCAGAGACTTCCTGCCAACTGCATGCGTGGCCAGACGGTGGTGGTGACACGTACTCTTAGCTAGCTTCACAGGCTTGGTGGAGGCTTCAGGCTCCGGACAAGGTCGAAGCATTGGGTTCTCCTCCAGTCTTAGTTTCTGACTGTTCTTCCGTGGTGAAGGGCGGAAAAGATGTTCAACGTGATGCAACCTATACCTGATGCCTATCTACCGTACATATCCAACTTTACGACCCAAACTACCCGTGAAAGAATGATTGCTAGTGCGTCATGACGAGCCCATAGTGCGTCCTTTCCTCACCCACCAAGCCGACAGCAGTCCCACCAAAATGACACCCTCCGCACCGATCTGACAGCGGTTCTCGTCTCTCTGGCTGTTACAGCGGCGGAAAGGGACGGTGGAAACTGACCATGCCCCGTCTGTCAGGTGTGCCTCCTGCCTGGCCCGGCAGCTGAGTGCCTGCCCGAGTGCCTGACACTCCTGAGTGCCTGTGCCTGACACTCCTCAGTGTACCCTTCCCTCGGCGTGCCCGAGACGCACGACCAGCGCAGTGCCCGTCTGTGTGCCTGTCTGTCAGCACCTGAATGTATAGGCCAGTCTGTGAGCCTGCCGTGCCTGCCTGTATGTATGTCTGTCTGTGAGCCTGCCTGGCAGCCTAAGTACATTGCACGTTTGTCAGCGACATCTTGTGGTAAGCTAGGCCCTGGCATAGCTCAATGCACTTTACTCAAAAAGCTTTTTTATTTTTAGAAAGGTTTGCAAAACTTAAAGCTTAAAATGTAAAACGACAGACCAAGTTTTATTCATAGCCCCAGACTTCATCACCATTACATTTATGTTTCATTATGCTCAGACAAAAACGACGCAATATGTCGTTTGACAAAATGTCAAAACGTCTTTAAACTTGTTAGCTTTGTAAAAAAAAAATCGTCGCCTGCACGAGAGCTTGAAAAAGTCGCACAGCACTCATGTCATGAAACTCAATTGTCATGTTACGAATGCAGTGCATCTTCGACCACTGCTGGATCCGAGACGGTGAATGCCGTTCCACCGTCCCGGAGGTATACCAGTTGCACAACTGCCTGTCGAAAACCCTCCCTCACCTTAATTGTCTTTTATGAATTTCTCCTGTTTTATTTTATTTTATGTAGCTGCCTGTCCTAGAGGTGCCAGAAACGAGGCACGTAAGCCTCAGTACCGACATGTAGCTTGCAGTTTTCGTCGAGATGTTTAGAAATGGCAATCAACGTTTGTTTCTTTTCTTCCTCCGGAACAAAAAGTATGAACTAGTTGGTGTCATTGTGCCCTCTAGAAAGCATGCCTCTGTTGAATTGGTTTCGGTCACGATAGTACTCGACACACTGGTCGTTTGGGTACTGTGTTCTGTGACTACTGATATAGATTAGATGTCGTAGCGGTCTTCTTGATCCACCTAGTGTCTATCTTCTGAGGTGTCGGGTCTGCCTTCTTCCTAATTTCTACACTCTCTCTTACAGGACAGTAGATGGGAAAAAGAAGAAAAAGGGCCTCTTCTAGACTCTGTCTCTGTCTCGTACGTGTCTTCTGTGTCGGGTATGTGGCGGTGTCTCAGCACGAGGCACGCCCGAATGTGGTGGTTGGTCTGCTGAACGTCCCAGCGCTCTGGCGGTTCAGCCAGCCTGGAGCTCGGCTTTGAGACTGTGGCTGCCCTCTGCCCGGCTCAGTCACCTCTCTGCCCGGCTCGGTCACCCTACATCAGCTCTCTGTCACCCTACATCAATCCCGCGTGACAAGCTCAGCATTCGGGCCACTCGGCCTGTCGGAGGTGACAGTCAAAGACGCGCTGCTGATAGAGAGGGATCTATGGGACAGGTGTCGAGTCAGTACTTACCAGTCGACAGTCAGTACTTAACGTGCGGTACTGGGTGACCTTTGAGAGGTCGAGGTCAGTGAGAGGTCAAGGGGGAACAAGAACTGCGACTTTGTGGACATGATGTCAGGGAGGGGGTGCGGAAGTGGACGGACCTGTGGACCAGCAGTGGACAGGCCTGTGGACCGGACCGAGTGTCCACATGGAGCGCCCTTTACGCGTGCCGCCCGTGTGGACTGTAATTGCGACCCACCCCTCGCCAATGCTGTGTTATGCAAGGTGACGTGTGCTGAGCAGTGTACTTGTGGCTCACTATACCAATGTGCTGGTGCGTTCTTTGTTTGGCGATGTGCTTCGCGGCAGAAATATCCAGACGCAATGTCTGCTGCCGATTTTGACCTGGAACCAACCCTGGCCTGTATTTGCCTGTTTGTTTAGCTTGTGATCCTCAAAAGACGGCTAGATCATTTTAAATACAGGCCTCTGAGGTCGATATTGCCGTCGTATTTACTGTGACGCCCTTGCATGCATTATTGTCGACCAGATGTCAGTTTCGCAAGGCTTATGTTTTCGCTTGTGCGTCTGCGTATGCATACGTGTCTTAGATATTATCATTTACATGATAAACGCCTTACATCGAATGGTGTTTTGTATTAGCTAAGTTCGCATAGCTGCTTGTCTTGTGAATGGCAGTAGCGTATTTGGCGCTTGGAATGGCTTTGGTCACTGAAGGTGAATGGTCTTCCTGAGGTTATAAAAATGCTACAACTTATCTGACGGTGCCAACAATTAGTCTATACCTTTGTGATTTTTGTTTGACTGCATTCTCATATAATAACTTAATCTGTAACCGAACGTTGCACGACACTCATTATCAATAACAACGTTAACCAGGAACAACTTCAATCAATCAAATGCATTTTGTTTTAGCAACAATTTGCAACATTTTTTTAGGCCGAAGATAAACAAATCGTACGCCACTCATTTAAGCACCTATCTACGCTGTATGCTGTACATGTCAATGTCGTTACTCGTGATACGGCACTGGTGCGAATCGCTGCGGTGTCTGACCAATGTGGTGATCGCTGAGTCAGTCTGCTGCGCCGCTAGCCTCGGAGAGCTCGCTTCTAGGATATGAGTCGCTCGGTGGTATGCCGGGACTATAGTCATGCGTGATGTGAAGGTCAACTGTATTTTCCCATATTTGTAGTATCAAATTTGACAAATACATTCTCAGATTCACTGATGATGTCCCTGAGTTTGATGACAGTCTGCGGTGGGAAAAGTTGACTGATGAAAGGTGGATAACAAGGCGAGTCATGAGGTGAGTCATAAGGTGAGTCGGCATCTGTGGTATGATGAAATTCCGGGCCATAAGTGTCAGTTGCTACTAGAAAAGTCTACTCCATTTTGGTCTTATCAGTAGGGGAGAGTGGGGAAAGATGCCCAGGGTTTTACTATGTCATATATTATTCGAAAATGACGATCGGAAAGCAAAAACTTGGAGTTTCAACGGAAGCCGACATCATTTTTCTCCAAAAATATCACACTTCCGTGCCTGAAATATGATAACTTTTTTTGCTATTAAGCATTTTCCTGAAGAAGTGAAAGGGGGCATCTTACCCCACAGGGTGGGAAAGACGCCCCCTGGCGTTGGGGAAGATGCCCCCTGCACTATAAGTGGCATAAATGGGCACGTGAATCGCCTGAACGAATCAGTAGTCCCTTCGAGACTGCAGTAGACACCAAACGTCATCGAAGGGCCCTCAAAAGTAGTCGTAAGGGGCTTCAGAGGTCATCGTTAGGGCCATCATAGTCCAGCGCGGCCAAACAAGCCTCCGTGGTGGCGTTCGGAGACCACTTTGGGGCCATTATAGGTCTTCATGATGCTTGAGGGCCCTCGAGCCCATCGTGGGGACCTCAAATGTCAGCGCGGCCCGTGGAGCCAACGTGGGAGCCCTCAAAGGATGTCGTGAGGGGCCCTGGAGCCAATAATGGGGCCCACAGAGGCCGTCGTGAGGGCTCTCAGAGTCAGATGCCGCCCAAAAAGTCGCTGTGTGTGCCGAGAGACCGGCATGGGGAGCACCCGACCATAGTGGACTCTTAATAGTCCCAGATCGGCTTTTGTCTCTCGTCACAAGTATGTAATAAATGATTTGACGGGCTGCTTGAAGGACAGCCTACGGATTTAGGGGGGCGTCTTTCCCCATCAGGACAGGATCTTACCCCAAGGTACCGAAGCAACATTAAATCAGTACAATTTGTTAGCCATAAAACTACACCCTGAAACAAACTGTTCGGGACACAGTACACGCATGTTAATGTATCACGACTATAGCAAGGGACTCAAAAATTATCTACCTTCTTTGATATTTACAATGTTTTGACACCAAAATATTTTTTGAAAGCAGCAAATAAAAAACATGCAATCACCAGCCAGCCGTTGCCCAACTGAGCTTCGCAAATTTTTGTGCAGTTAACAAGGCAGGCTTCCGCTTTACGCTAAAAACATTAATTTCCAGGTTCGATTCTTTGTTTCGCCGCTAGAGGGGGTGGGGCGTCTTTCCCACCCTGGGCATCTTACCCCACTCTCCCCTACTCATTCAGCCACCTTTCAGAACGAGGTACTTCACCACGACAACGTTATATTAACGTTGGAGTAGCAGTAAGCCCAGGCAACATGCGATTTTCTTCACGAAATGTATTTTATTAAAAATATGACTGACACTGTGTACATTCTGAAACAGTAATCAAATAAGCAATAACTGATTGATTACATTACAAATATAAATTATCCCGTCAATATGTGTCATATTAAGGTAGGTATACTCAGATCTGATACCTTATTCGACTCTGGAACACACCTGACTCCATAGCTAAGAGAAGCAAGCAATCATTTAAAGCTCCGGAGTTTTCAATGAAATACCACTTAGCAGGAGCATGCAACTAATGATGCCGTTGACAACAGAACAGTGACATATTATGACAATATGCGCCCCTGCGGAACACCGAAAAGACACGAGCTCCCAAGGAGACAGTTCAGTCTCCGGTCCCCGAGAGACTGTGAGACGATGACCACGTACCCTGGGGGTGACAGGCGACTCCGAACTCCGTCTTAGACAGTCTCCCGACAAGAACTCCAGACGAAGCACAGTCTGCTCAGAGGACGTACGGATCCTGAGACAAGTTCTGCGACTCCGTGTCCATTTTCAGAGACGCATGTATCGATATTCACCTTCACAGGTCCTCGTCTCTTCACTATGCCCTCAATGATAGTATCCATGACGAGCACAGCGAATCGCCACGCTCATTCAGCACAGCGCTTTACGAGTAGAAATGTCACAGTCGGCGCTCACGTCTCACTCACACTTCTCGCGATTCATGTCACCTGAAGCGCAGCCCCGGTCCGGAGCACGTCTTTCACCGGTTAACTGGATGGCTGAACGACCACACGACGAGTCGCCCACCAGTCAGTCGGTTTGGGAGCCAGAGTCGGCAGTCTCACCGAACCGTCCCCAGCCTCTCAGGGGAGACACAAAGCCCACCGAGAGACTATACTCTCTGAGAGACGACCTTCGCGGGGAGACGAGCGCGGTGTTCACGCGGCTCCCCTCCTCCTCCGGTGTCACAAGTCCACTCGTCCTCCTCCCAAACCGACGGGGATGGCGGCCAGCTCTGTTCGCATGCAGAGGAACTCACCTCCCACGCAGGCCAGGCCCAGACAAACGACCTGCACGAGCCACCAGGTGGCGCTGGCTGGCCACCGGCCGCTGACCGCCCAGCAGAGGAGTACGTGGTAGAGCAGAGTGGTGCAGGAGAAGTCCAGGCAGAGCTTGGTCCGCTGCACCACCCACCAGAGAGCCAGGGCGCTGCGGCAGGCACGGGGATACTGATAAGTGGCAGCTATTGGCAGTCAGCAGTTTACATCATGGCTGAATGTTTGGTGAGTGATGGGTATAGTTATGTCTGGTAGGTACAATAACCATAGGTTGATAAAGTGCAAGTCTTCTATGCTCTATAGGAGGAAGCAATGCGTAGACTGGCACAAGTCAATTATTCAAAATAATTTATATTAGGACCAAAACATGTTTCGATTATATCGTCATCAGTTGGTCCTAAATAGAAAATCGTTTTTTTTTTATTCGTTTTTTTACCAACTGACGACGATATAATCGAAACACATTTTGGTCCTAAAATAAATTATTTTGAATAATTGACTTTTGCCATATATGTCAGTATGAGCTTAAACAATGCGTAGACTGATGTGCTTAGATGGATGTGGCTCACCTGAACAGTGCATTCAGTACATAGGCAGTAGAGATGATCCTGCCATGACCCTCCGAAAGGTTGAGAACCTGAAAATGGACAGTTGGTGATGCAACTGATGTCACAACTACTTCACAGGTGATGCATTTACTGGGGAACTCTTAAGAAAATAAAAAAAATGTATCAGTCTATAAAAACTAAAATGGCATACCTCCCAGCAAAAAGCAATTGATTAATCTGACAATCTGTAGTGTAACTATTCCAGCTTTTATTTCTTGCCAGAATTCATTAATTAGCAACTGCATAGTATGGTGACATTCCCCAATCACCATCATATGCAGAGTAAATGTCTTGGAAACTGACTCTGATTCACCAGAATATACGAGGAAAGAGCCGACACAGGACACCGAGGCTGCTTACCTGGTAGTTAAACACAGTATCTGAGGATAATAAATCACCAGTGATGAAATTCATCAGTATCAGCCAGATTCCAAGACCTAAGTAGTAGAGAGCTTGAAGACAAACAATTTGGCTGATAATTAAAAATGGGTCCCATTTGGTGTGCCGAAAATGACCGCCCATTACAGAAAATGTATGGACCACCACAAGCTAAGCAGCTTCACTGAAGCCGAGCATAAGACACATCTATCTTCGGTAACCTATTAATCGAAATTCCGGCAGAAAATCAGCCTATACTCGTTACAACACAGCGATTCTCTAGCACAGTCACGTCGGTATATAGTAGTATTCAATGACCGTGGTATATAGGGCCTTGGTGGTCACGTCCGTTGTTACGTCTTGGTTACGTCAGTGTTGAAAGCGCGATAGGCACTATATAGAAAATACTGATGACGTTAGCTATAGAGTACCACGTGACATTAGTAGCCTTTCCTATATGATTGTTGCTGTCAATCACGTGATATTGGTAAGAATTTTAGGGGGAACCAAGAAACACTGCGCACCTGTTACAAATAAAATGTGTTCATTTGTGATCACTAATCAGCGTCAGCGACTATAGTTTCCGCTATGAAGCGTTTGATTGGCTGATTAACCGTCGTAAGCACAACTCAGTCTGCTCAATAGAACGTAATTCCTGCCGGTACTTTTCTATCACCGTGTGCGCCAGTTATTCATGTTGATGTAGGTAATTGTTATTCAGCCCTTATGGCTTATTGTATTGTGGGTTCCAAAATAAAAACCAGTATTTTTGCGTGGTATGTGCATGGAGGACTATTTAACTTTTCATTATTTGGCTTTTGAAGGTCTCATGTCTATCACTTTCCTCAAACTATTTTTTGCTACAATTTTGTGGTTTTTTATGCTAATGTCCAGGAAAAAATAACTTAATTACTGGAGGAATTTGAATTATTTTTATAGAGGAAAAACTATATTCCATCTTTGGTAGAGGCTAAACAGTGTTTGTGGCAGCAGCTTACGTGTTCGTTATTACGGGTTCCTAATAATGTTGCATTGGTAGTTCTAAACTCAAACTAACTGCATGCTGATTGATTGACACTGGCCTCTGTGACGGATACATTCTTGGTATTATCCTGTAAGGCACTTAATTCCTGCGTAAAGCACTGATTTCAAAACAGGGAATGGAATATCTTGGCCTAGGATACCTAATTGTTGGGCCATAAAAGCTCCTGATTTGTACTAGGCTCATCTTTAGCTTCAAAACTGCTATCCCAGTTCAAATCTCATGCTAAAAGTGGTATACTTTATTTCCTTAAAAGAGGTTTGAGGTGAAGTGTGGCCCTAAAGCTCCATGAGAACCTGAGGCTAGTCTGTCCTGTGTTTAAGCCCTGAGGCCAGATTGCTTTGCCTATATTTGATTCTGATGGTGCTAACTGCTAGCCCTTGTCATTTTAACTGGACTGGCCTATGAACCAGGCATCAATCAAACAACTCAATAAGAGGGTACCAGACTTGTGACTTCAAAGACACATGAAGACAAAACAAGCCACAAGCTTGGTCTCCCAGCTTAATCCCCTGCACTCAAGTATCTTCATGTTATGAAATGTGTTTTCCCAAGTGGGAGTCACAACAGTTATACTAAGTGTTTATGTAGAACTTTATCTGAGTATTATCAGCTTTGCAGACAAGTTAAACAATCTGGTCAGTTTTTATCACATCTAGTAGGTAGGTAGCATCCTAGGGTCGCTTGTCAAAGTTGCAAATGCTCCTTGGGACATGGTAACTTGAACTGGCAGATGCTAATGAATGAATAACAATTGGCTTGCATCTAATACCTACAATGACTAAATTCTGAGTTTATTTCAGATTGCTGACTAGTACCTACCAATGAAAATGGAGACGTCTACAAGTCCACTGAACAAAGAGGATTCCGTTTGGACATACTTGAGAAGCATTGCTAACAAAAGACATCCATTTAGTGATCCCCTATATAAAGAAGGCAATGAAGCTTGTCGAATGCAACTTCAGTATGTTGCTGTTGATGAAGATGATGATACTCTGTCTGATAAAAGGTGGGCTTTTTTATGCACTGGCTTATCCTCTTCAATCTATTTGCTTTCTATTGGTGATTATTTATGATTTAGTTTCGGTCGATGTGCTGTAACATCTCATACACCTAGCCACATATACCTCATATAACTAATCCTACAACCTAGCCATCTACTCATATACATGGGTATATTATACATGGTTTGTAATATGTACCAATTTGCTGAAGCACAGATAACAGTAGTACTGGATTGGAAACAGAATATTGGCAGTTGCAGTAAGAGGCCGAATGTTTTTATGCGACGGCGCCAAAATGGGATTCTCGCGTGCTGCTGGATGGATAATTTGTGTGTTGTGTATTGCAAGAAATCGTCATTTTTGTCAGGGGGCTGTCATCCCGAGCTTTCCTATGTGCCGGGCGCCCGACTGTTTAACATTACCCGTGACGTCACGGGAGCGTACACTTGTCAGCTGGCCTTCCCCCTAAGGTTTTTCGCGAATAACTCGCGTAAAAAGCGGCCGATCGCGACGAAACTTTCAGTGCCCTCGCATTGATCAATTGTACACCTAACCTGAAAATTTCATGACCCTGACCCAAATGACCTTTGACCTGTGACCTACTTTCCGAGACCATGTTTGGCCGGAATAGCGATTCGGCGTATGTCGGCTCGCATTAGCCGCGCGTTTGCAACCTTTTCGTGGTTTCAAACGTTCAAACATGTGATTTGATGTTGCTCCTATGCATTAGGGTGGATGCCAAAAGGTCACCTGAAGGTCAGGTCAGGTCATTGACCTTTGGTGACCTCGGTTCACTTTTTCGAGTTTTACATGTTTCTAGGCTAGTTTTTGGAGCTGATTTCGAATTTAACAGCCATTTGAACATTTACAAAGTAGTTTTGGTGCCTTCGTGACATGTTACGAAGCTGTCAGAGTCGGTTGGCACGTATTACGAATACCCGTCACGACCCCTACCGGTTGACCTGACCTGACCTGACCCGATCTGGTCTAAATGCTTAAAGACATCATCTCTGATCAAAACTAACACGATATTCGTGATCAGCACCCCGGAGAACTCCATAGCAGCCACACTTTACGACTTTCTAGGGCCCCGATTTTCCCGATTTTCGGGTCATTGACCTGACCTGGAAGGTCACCTGATGACCTATGATCTTAAAATTGGATATCATCGGCTTCCTCTCGTCCTCGTGACGGGCAACACGCTCGTTTTTCCGCGAAGCTCTAGCTCAATCAGGGGCCAAACGCGAGGGGGGGGGGGGTGGTCGTACCAACCTCTTGTGTCGTCGAATGACGCAAAATGGCCTGTGCCGGCGAGGGTTAAGCAACGGCTACTTAACGCTTTCCTAATTGTAAAGTGTTGCATTGTCTGCATGGTGAGGAGAACGCTAACCGGTCAGAAGGGCGATGTGTTGTGAGGAGGGCGCCGACAGGTCAGGAGGGCGCTGTACGATGAACGGCGACGCTGACTGGTCGGGAGGGCGATGCATGGTGATGAGGGCGCTATGCGTTGCAAAAGGCGCGGGCTGGTCAGGACGGCGCTGAACGCGAAGATGTCGCCGACAGGCGAGGAGGGTGCTGACAGGTCAGGAGGGCACTGCACGGCGATAAGGGCTGCGACAGATTTGGAGAACGCTGTCCGTGAAGAGGGCACCGACAAGGCAGCAGGGCGCTGTATGGTGGGGAGAGCGCCGACAGATCAGGAGGGCGCCCATGGTGAGGCAGGGGCGGATCCAGGAATTTTCGGGAGGGGGGGCGGCAAGTTGAAATAGGGGCGACCTGGCAATCCGGGGGCGCCAAACCGTCGTCAAAATCGAGAGTTTAAAACCCACGCCGTGCGTTGTCACGTCCCCCTAGGTTTTCCGCAAATATCTTTAAGACGGCTGCGCGCAGCGCCGCTGTTTTAAAGATATTTGTGCCCAACCTCTGCTTGGATCGCCCAATCCGTCATGGGGAGGCTCACTTTGCTGAAGTCGCCTCATTTCTTCTAAGAACGACCAATTTGCTGTAGGCGGCCCACTTATCTGGGACGCCCATTTTTTTTGCTAGAAGTGCCCCTCTTCTTCTTGATGCGTCCCGCTTCTACTGGGAGTGCACCTTTTCTGTTAGGGCACGCCTTTGCTGCTGGGGAGTCCCTTTTTCTACTGTGAATGGGGCGGCCCTTTCCTGTTCGGCGACCCCAAATTCTGCTGGGGGCGCCCCATTTCTGCCCAACTTTTGCTGGGGTGCCCCTCTCCTGCAGGGGCACTTATCTTTTGCTAGAGACGCCTCAATTCTGGGGGCGCCCTTCCACTGCGGGGGACGTCTCTCTCCTGCCAGAGGCATCGCTTTTCTTCTTATGGGGCTCCTCTTTTTGCTTGGGCGCCCCTCTTCTGCTCGGAGCGGGGCACCAGTCTCCTTTTACTGGGGCACAGCCCCTCTGCTGGGGTTGCCCTTCCGCTGCCTCAGGGGCGCCCCTCTTGTGCAGAATATACTCCTTTTCTTCTTGTAATGAGGCGCCCCTCTTCTACCGGGGGCGCCCATCTGCTGCTGGGGCGTCTGTCTTCTGCCGGATATTGTCAATGGGGCGCCCCTATCCTGCCTGGCGATCCCAACCTCTGCTGAAGGCTCCCCATCTCTGATCAACTTTTGCTGTGGCGCCTCTCTTCTGCTGGGGCGCCCCTCTTCTGCTGAGGGCGCCCCTCTCCTGCAAGGGGCTCCTCTCTTCTGCTGGGGCGCCCCCCTTTGCTGGGGCGCCCGTCTCCTGCTGGAGTCTCCTTTCTCCTCCTGGGCCCCCTCCGCTGCCGGGGGCGCCCCTTTTCTGCCAGTGGCACCCATTTTTTTTTATTATGGGGCTTCTCTTTTTCTTTGTTGGGGCGCCTATCTGCGGTTAGGGCGCCCCTCTTCTTCTTGGAATGGGGGCGCCTCTCTTCTTTTGCTGGGGCGTCGCTCCTCTTCAGGGGGACACCTCTCTTGCCAGGAGTGCCCCTCTTGAACAGAAGGCATCTTTTTATTCTTGTAATAAGACGCCCCTCTTCTGCTGGGGGCGCCCATCTGCTTCTGGGGCGACTCTGATCTGCTGGGAATGGGCAATTGGGCGTCGCTCTCCTGCTTGGTGAGCCCAACTTCTGCTGGAGGCGCCCTATTTCTGCTCAACCTTTGCTGTGTCGCCTCTGTTTTGCTCGGGGCGCCCTCTCTGCCGCGGGCTATGGGCGCCTTTTTCGGATGTCGGGGGGGGGGGGCGCGGCCGCCCCCGTCGCCCCCCCCCCCCTGGATCTGCGCCTGTGGTGAGGAGGATGCTGTACGATGAGAAGGGCACTATACGAGTGAAGAGGGCGCTGACAGGTCAGGAAGACACTGTATGAAAAGAAGGGTGCGGACAAGGCGAGGAAGGCGATGTACGGTCAGGAGGGCGCCGACAGATCAGGAGGGCCGTCTACGGTGAAAAGGGCACCGACTTGTCAGGAGGGCGCTGAACGTAGAGGGCGCCGGTCTGGAGGGCTTTGTATGGTTAGGAGGCCGCTATACAGTGAGGAGGATGGCGACAGGTCAGGAGGGCACTGTACGGTGAGGAGGGTGCTATAATACGGTAGGCGCTGCCAGGTCAGGAGGGCGCTGACAGGTCTGCCTGGAGGGCGCCGAATGTGAAGAGGATGCCGACAGGCCAGGAGAGCGCTGAAGGGCGAGAAGGGCGCCGACAGATCAGAAGGGCGCCGAGCAGAGTCGCAGACAGAAGGGCGCTGAAGGTGAGCCGAGGGCGCTAGATGGTCAGGAGATTGGGAGTGGATACCCGTCATTTCAGGATTGTGGGTGCATCTTCACCCACAAAGAGATATAAAATTGTAAATATGGGCGCCAGCACCGCATGATGACGTCGCAATGGCTTACCGTCGAGGGCGACTAGAGTGCTGGACACTGAAAAGGCGCCATCGGCGCACAGAATGATCGTGGAAGGCGTCTGGATGGCGTCTTTCCAGAGGGCGCCTGCTAGATTGGGAGGGGCTAAAGCACAGTGTGCCCCCCCCCCTTGGCTGCGCCCCTGAGTCCTTTGTCTAGCGATTTTCGAAGTACCTATGTATCGCGACCGTATGGGCCTTGGGAGCTGCCGGTGACCACAGGGGCCTTATAAGGCCCCTGATGACTCGGGACTCGTAGGCCGTATACGGCCTACGGGTCCCGAGTCATGTGGGCCATATCACCACAGGGCACCGTATCTTTTTCGAGATAAATGACCGTTCTGAAGCGTGTCGCATTTTCCTGAGCATGATCTGGCGGCGCCTGACGGCCGCTCTCCAGTCTGCGGCTGACAGCTTACTGACAAGCCACCTGGCGATCGCCAACTCAACCCTAATTACGAAGTTGTCCGCTAGGTGGCGGGGCCATACAATCCCAGTCAGGACAAGGGATTCTCATAATTATTTTGCTATCATATTTTCCCCCTTTTAAAATCATTTAAAAGCGCTATTGCACCAGTAATTTTTATATTAGCAGTAATTCCAGCCGCCGCATCAGGGTCCAGATGGAGCCAGGGAGCATATGCACCGGTGACGTCACCGTAGTGTTGCAGATTTGTAACATTAGCGAGCCCGGACGATCTTACCTAACTTATACGGCCTTGATTTTTGTGTTTTGTCGTTTACATTTAAAATCGAAGCTACCAATGTTACTTTCATTTGCTTAAAAAATTAAAGATTTCACTTTTAATTTGATCATTTAGAGGGCACAATGCGTGGTGTTTTCTTTTGAAAAAAAGGTGGTGCAAAGCCTTACATACGTATAGGTACATCAACAATGGAGGAGGGAATGAGCGGTAAAAAACTGCCGTTCTGGCTACAACCCAACGAACCAAGAGGAACAAAAGATTAAAACAGGAGATGTCTCACATGCTACCTATTCGCTTCTCTCACCGAAACTCTCTACGGGCTCAGTGGGTTGGCGCCATGGGTCACCGTGACCGGGCTGAGTGGGATCAGGACTATTCCGCTGTGTGTGAGCTGCATTTCAGAAAGGAAGATTTCGAAGATGATCGGTCATTTCGCACCGGCATGCAGAGACAGCGCCGTCGGCTCAAGAGCGGCGCAGTCCTGACAGTATTGACCAGCGTGGATTACGCGATGCCCCCTGTGTACGAGCGGCCAGCGAAACCAGCCATGGCATCCGCACGCCACTCACACCAGAAGCAGGTTATGAAGGGCCAGACCGATGCGTTCTTCACGAATGACAATATCAGCTATCAGGTGGCAACTACAACTGGTCGAGTGTCCGACAGTTCCTAGAGAATGAGGCGGTACTCCGAAGTCGAATTAAGGGCCTCAGATGGTGGTCACTGGTCACGTTTCAGCCCCGCCGACGCCTCCGCCCGAATGGTTCCACCACGGCAGGAGTGACAGCAGGATGGTGCTCTTGTCATCCAGGAGCTAGTGGCCGCGGTGGCGAAATCCACTGAAATGGAGGACCTGGATGACAGCGCCAAGGCCTCCCTGGGACACAGCTCCGGCGTCTTGGCACGCTCGGCCACCAGGCGTAACAAGTACGGTGCCTCCGCCAGCCTGCTGATCTATCATGGAACTACGCCGCTGGAGGTACGACTGGAGAAAGACGAAGACATCGACCTCACCGTGAGGATCTGCCATATTTGGAGGCAACTGCCGAAGACGGAAGCTAACAGGAACCAGCTGCTGGTCTGCGATCAACCAAGAAGTGACGCAGAAGTGATGAAGATAGTCGTAAAACGGGATGTCGAACTGACCGGAAGTCGTTTGCAATGATAGCCACGACGTCCTTAGGAGCCTCCTTCCAGAGATGTATGCGACGGTTTTCAATCTATTTGCTGGAAAGTGTGGAAACATGGTAACTGATAAGTGAGGCAGACACTCAAGACAGTGCTGTCCATCGAAAGTCAGGAAGCAGACACCCCAGCCACTGGTGCAACCCGATCGAGGAGCGACAAGAGGCCAAAGCTCAGCAGGGCCAAGAAGATGTAAGGCGGGGAAGTAAGGTCGCTGATGAAATTGGGAGGGCAGGCGAAGCGAAGTGACACTTGAAGGGGTGTTTTGTGACGTGTTGGTTTGAATCGTGACGTTTGGATGGTTCGTTGTGACAGGACTGGTGTCGATTAGCATGTAAATAAAGAGATCAAACTCCCATGTACAATTACTTTTTGTGGATGAGAGTGAGGAATCATTATAAACAAATCAGTGGCATACTTTCCCTCACCACGGTGAGGAAAGTGTAACCAGCAACGTTTAGTAAAATAAGTTGCCATTATGCAAAAATGCAACAATAAACACCAGCACGGCTAGATTGCTTCTTTATAAGTTTCATTCACATAAACCAATATTTTTTTGTTGCCTGTGAGAGGAGATATCGAAGTCTGGGCACGAAATATTCGGTTCTGTTTTCGGCCTCTTACTGCAGCCACCGGAATCCTGTTTCCAATCCAGTACTACTGTTATCTGTGGCTGAAGTGTAACCCTGACTGTTGGCTGATGCTAATCTAACGTGCCCCACCCTGGCAGTGAGCCGGTGAGCCGGTTCCAGTGCGCGGTGCCCGGCTGCGGCCGCTGGCTCGGCTCAGTCCTGGAGCAGGAGGTGCACTATTCGACCAGTCACCGACACAGCTGCGGGCTGTGTCGTGCTCAGCTGCCCTCGTTCCACCTGCTGCAGCTCCACCTGGAGGAGAGCCACGACTCGCTGTTCGCCGTGCGGGCCCAGCGGCAGCCCATGGTGAGCGAACGTGATCGTGTGGTAGGGGAGGGGGGGGGAGCGAGACGAGGTCCTTATAGTGCGTGGCTTACATGGTGCTAGTGCTGTAGCTCATCTACGGCTGACGGTGTAGCTCGTAAGCTATTTCTTTAACCCTATTTTCGATAATGTCTTGTGCAGGTGTAAATGGTTTTTGAATATTTAGTCACCGGCACTCAAATTCACCGATTCGTTGTTTATTTCTGCTGCTAACCAACGCCTGCCCGTGTCTGTGTGCCGACAGTACCGCTGCTTTCTGGAGTCGTGTGACGTCCTCTCCGCCGACGCCGACTCGCGGCGGGAGCACTGCACCGCCCACCACTGCTTCCCGGCAGACTTCTGCTACTCCCCGTCCCCTCCCCCACGTCCCGCCCCTTCGGCTCCCTCCCCGTTCATCCCCTCTCCCTTATCCTCCTCCTCTGCGCCCTCCCGGCCGCAGCCCCGACTCCGGTTCTCCTATACGGTACCGGAGCACGGGGTGAGCTTCGGGGCCGGAGCGGTTCGGTCGCTCGGTCGGGAGATGGCGGATGGAGACGCCTCGGAGATCGACATGGCGAGCCTAGCGGCGGCGCTGGAGCCAGAGACGCTCTGAGTGGACTTGGTGATGCAAAGGTATGTGCTGTGTGACTCGCACGCTTCTCTGGGACTGCGGGGTGTGCGATGGATACTCGATTTATGTATTGTGAAACTGTTTAATCCAATGTTTATTTTATCAGAGCAGTTCATTTTTTTTTTTGTATATTCATTTGCTCTACGAGCTTTGCTCATATCATTATGCGCTAGCATCCACACTCAGTGCGTGCTACTGTGCTCTGCCATTCCCATCAAAACTATATTGACTTTGATTGAGTGTCTGCTACGTGAGTTGCGGGCACAACTTCGAGCCCCTGAACAACTTTCCTCGTGTTCCAAACCGTGTAAACTGAGCAGTGTAATCTTTTAGCTGAGAATGTTGCGAGTGCTTGTTGTCTTTAATGTAGGTTGCTGCAAAATTCTTTTTAGCTTTTTCAGTGTAATACATGCTTTTGTAAGGTTTAATTGTTGGACACGGTGGTGATTACTATAATAATTATATGATATACTATAATATTACTATATACTATATGTTATAAATCGCAATGTCATTGTATAACTTAAATCTATTCATTGAGAGTACGTTCAGCTATTTCAAACTTCGAATATGCTTCACATTACCCAGACTTAAATGCTCGAGTTATTTATCCTGCATTGTTTCCCCCTGTCTTATTTCACAAGGAGTGAATTACCTCCCGCTGCTCAGATGAGCACCTATTACTAGCTACGTCAAAGACATGTAGGCTGAATTGAACTCGAGGTTTGTAAAGGCTGAAACCGACTCTTTCCGCGGTCAGAAAATCGCATGCGAAAGTCAATTCATACACATTAAATTGCGCTCGCATCAATCGTACGCAGCGAGGTGCGTACAATTGATGCGAACGTAATTTGATGTGTATGGCATAGGTTGTTGCATGCGATTTCCTGACTGCGGAAAGTCTTTTTCAGCCTTTGAGCTGTGTCCCACTCGTCACAAGGCTGCGTTGAACTCCGACTTTCCATAGGCATAAGTTTATTTAACACCAACATCATTAAATGCTTTCTCGCATTGCATGGCATGCTTCGCAGGGCCTAAAAATAGGTCTAAGGCTGGGTAGATAGCGACAAACAGGCAAGCACAACGACCTGACTCTAAATATAACTGACTGTCATGCCCCAACCTACTGGGTATTCAGCCAGCCAGCTAGGTGGGTTAGGTATATCGGCAGCCATCTATAGGGTAAATATCACACTGACCGGGGTCCGTAGTCCCAACACAACCGTTGGGCACAACCCGTCTCGAGTCCGCTCTTTCCTGCACTCGGAAGACTACATATTTCATTCATCACACCACAAAACAACATCTCTACGTGGCTCTCCGTCACGCCAGTCACGAGCCCTCCGTCACGCCCGTCACGGACCCTCCGTGGCGCCAGTCACGCGGCTGCCGAACGCGTCTTTCCCGACCCGGAGTCGGATCGTGTAGCTCTCCGGAAGGGGTTCCAGGAGAGTCGCCGGGAGGCGGCCGTCTTGCTGGCGGTGCTGGCCACGCTGCCTGCCGGGCTCTGTTTTCGGCTGGGCGCGGCTGAGCTGACTCCTGAACTGGATACAGAGTCCCACGAGCCGTCTGGAGTAGCCGGCGGACTCTTCGGCTGTCGGAGGAGAGAAAGGGGACGGTTAGCTGACCCCGGAGGTGAACCGTTTCATGAATCGTCCGGGGAAGTTAGCGAACTTTTCGGCTGCCGAAATGGGGTCTCTGTGGGGAGATGAGGGTTGTATTGTAAGCAATCGTACATGCATTGAGCTTACGACAAACTGAAACAGTCCTCCTCAGTCAGAGTCCTCAAATAATTCGATTTAAGGACCATCTGTTGTGCTCCCGTCTATTGTATGTACTGCTCTCTTCCTCACATACACAAACTGCACGTATTTCCTCACCTGCTGTGCCGCCCGGTGCTGCGGCGTGACCGCGGTGACGCTGAACTCTGTGCCGGCCTTTCTCAGCAGGTCCACAACGTCACTGTGACCGCTCCACTTGAGGTCCTGCTCCCCCATGGCCACAATATAGTCGCCGTCCTTCAGACCAGCTCTCTGTCGGCGCCGGGCGCAGGCACGTCAGATTGAAAACGGATACAGACTGACTGAGAGTGAAACGACGGAACGCTTACGACATAGATAGTTCATGTTATCTATGCTAACGATTAAAGTTTTTTTGGCAACGTTATTTTATACCAGAAAGCCGCGGCGTAACGCTTTCTAACGAATTACATCCGCAATGCGAGTTCTCACTCTTAGTAAAAAAAAAAAAACATCATGCGATCCATCTATATTTCAACACTGCCATTCCCACAACCCCGGCAGAGTACCTACCCCTCAAAACCCACATAGGCCACCCAATGCTCACCTGTGCCGCTCCATCCTGTTCCACATCCACCACCACGACAGGCGCCTCCCTCTTCAGACTGAACCCGAGCGGCTCGCCGGGCCGCCGGCTCACAGTGACCTCTCGGGGCGGCGACCAGCGGTGGTGCGCAGAGAACGTCTCCAGAGGGCCGAGCCGGTGGAGCGGGTCGGCCACCGGGTACCGGCCGAATTCGGGCGGACGGGGGGCGAGCGGCCGCGCCGAGCCGCCTGCGAGAGGGCGCGGGTAAATAGTCAATAACCATGGCGTCGAATAACTCTGAGACTCATGGATTGAGTTCCGAGTCTTATCAGAGACAATCATCAGAGTTCAGACTCCTGTAGGTACAGCAGCTGTGCTGAAGGGTCCATGTCGCAGCTGCTGAGATTGGGATTCGTTGTATCGATATTCGGTTGTGCCAGAAGTATAGATAAAACGTCATGAAAGATAAGTGAGATGCTCTGAACCTGCCTTCCCCATTCCCTCTCCTTCCCCATGTCTCCGTCCCTTCATCCCCGGCACCCACCAGAGATGGCCGGCGGCTCGACGGGCAGATCGAAGTCGTCCTCTCGCTGTGTCACCGCCTGTCTCTCAGCTGCCAGCTCCAGTGCCACCCTCAGCACGTGCAGCAGGCTCTCCTGCTTCTTCAGGCCGCGGGACATGCGGTAGAGCCGCAGTGCCTCCTCGTGCTGGGTGATCGCCTCGCGGAGGTGGCACCGGCCTGGGAAGGGGCGGGGGTGGCACACGGCGTGAGAGGGCTGTGAGTGAGGCAATGAGGGTGGAATGCGGCATCAGCGGGATACGCTTAGAGACGCTGAAAATATACATGCGTAATTCCGGCACCATGGATATGTGATTTTATCGTCAGTAATGAGCCCTTTACAAGAAGTTTCCTCAAGTTGAACAGAGCTGTGATAAAACAGAAGCTGAAAAACTATTAAAACGTACCGACCAAAGCGCAATGAATATACATAGGTATGTAAAACATGCAATTCACAACCGGCTAATGCTTGAGTCATCTCCTCTCTCAGCGCACTTCCTTACCATCAACCCTCTCTTCCTGCTCTGCTGCTCAACCGGACGATGAGCTCACTGCAGTTGGCGGCCTTCATCCACCCACGTCCCCCCTCTCATATCCGCACTAACCGAGATAGAAGGCCTGTGCGGCGGTGCGCGGTGCCGTCAGTTCCGCCCCCAGAATGGTGCCTCCGTCCTGCTGGGAGTGCCGGAGTGTCGCGGCGTCCTGTTCACTCAGAGGACCTCGGTGGTCCAGTAGTCCTGTTGCATTGCAAAGAAGACACAAAAGTTGAACACAAAATATGAAACAAAGAAAACACGTGAACACAAGATCGGGCAGGGAAAACACGGTACGAATCGTAACGATATTTTGCCACTAGGTGTCGCCACTTGTTACGCCTGAATATATACTGTACCGCAAGACAGATCAGCCGACTGCCAATAGATGTCTCTAGTTGTAGTCACGAATCGTAACTAAATAATTGCCGCTAGATGTCACTAAGTGTTACGCCTGAAGGTATACTGTCCCGCAGCACAAACTAGCCGCCCGAGGCCGCTAGCTGTAGTGAAGCAAAAAGCACAATGCCTTGGACCATGAATACGATCGTTGAGTGCCATTGCTACCCTTACCGAGGGCCAAGTGGTTGTGAGCGAGTGCCGAGTAGTGGACCGCCTTGATGTTGACCAAGTCCTGCCAGGAGGGCGGCACTGACTCCTCAGAGGATTCGGACATCGGTGTCATCCGCTCCCCCAGTCGCCGGTACATCTCAGACACCTGGCGGACGACAGGAAGACCAGAGTATAGGGAGCGGCGGACAAACAGACAGAGGGGAAGACTGGAACATACGGGCCTACGGGCAAAGATGAGATACAGACAATCAAATAGACAGTTACGAGCACCTTTATCACCTTTACGAACTAAAAATGAAGGCATACATAAATACACCGTCGTCCAAAACTCATAGCGACGCAGTTGTTCAGCTATATCCACTCACCACCGAGCACCCCAGCTTCCTTCCCCATGGCCCCGCCGTTCATCCCCCTCGGCCCTTGGAATAGTCATTCATCCGCCCAAGCGGTCTCCATGTCCCTGCTTTCCTCCTGCGCTCTCCTGCTGTCCCCGTCACCTTTTTAAACCTCTCCCTGGCGGCCTGGCCATGTCCTAACAATCCCTCTCACCTGAGCGGCCTCCCTGCCCATCTCCAGCCGGGCTGCCAGCTCGGCGCTCTCCTCTTCCAACAGCAGTCGCTCCAGGCGACACTCGCCTGCCTGGGCGGTCAGCAGGCCGGTCAGCACCTCCAGCACGTCCGGGTCCAGGTCACGGCTCGGGGCGTTCGAGAAATTCTCCAAAATATACCTGCAGCAGTGGGAAGGGTTAGAGAGAAGTTGAAGGTGCACGATCAGCAGAGAACATATAAGACTGATATGTAGGTGACGATGACGAGCATTGACGATTAAACGTCATTTGTGATTGCAAAACGGCGCTAATTCACAGTCAACAAGCCTTGTCGATATAACACGGCCTAACATAATCAACAACTTACTGATGACATAGCGCGCACCCGATAGAAAATTTCCCTGGCTGGACTCTGGAGCACGCTCGAGTACGCCAACAAAATGTCGTTCCCACCTGTATATTCCGGCTGCTCGCAGGTAGTGCCCGATAGTGGTGTCCAGACCCTTCTGACAGGTCCGAGCTTCCTTGGCGCCCAGCTGGCTGTGTAATGCGGCGATGTTGAACAGAACAGACGCCTTCTCAAAGGCCATCGTCCGCTGGCAGCTGGGCAGGCCCGTCAGAGAATCGTACCTGTGGACAGACGGCGAAACCATAAACATCAAGTCATGCTAGGAGTGATTACGTTAATGAGCTTACAGTAGACTTACGGACTACGGTAGAGTTTTAGTAGACGGTTATGAATTATTGTTGAAATAAGAGAAAAATATAAAGTTGTTTGAAATTACATATTCATTGGTTATCGTAGTAATACTAACCATTCGAAATAGACCCCCAGATGTCTGTCGGGAGGGAAGAGCCTCCGTTCGATGAAGTAGAGCTGGTTGTAGTACTCAAACAGCAGCGCCAGTCCCGTACTGCTCCGCTGGGGCGTCCTCATTGCCTGCAAGATAATGGCCAACTTAGATAGTATATTGTGTCGTTCGCGCAAACCGTGAATTGCCTACGGGGCTACAATCTTAGAAACGGTATGATAAGAGACCAATCGAAGTGGGTCGCTAATGTCGAACATTCTAGGATAAACATAGGTGTAGCCGTCACAGATGAACTAAAATGAAAGGCTGGTAGTCTGTGCTGCACTGCGCACTTGCCTGGAGGGTAGGCTGTGCCGCAATACACACTCGGCTGGAAGGCAGGCTGTACCGCAATACACACTCGGCTGAAAGGTAGGCTTGGCCGCACTACACAGTCTGCTGGAAGGTAGTCTGTGCCACAATACACGCTCGGCTGAAAGGTAGACTGTGCCGCAATACACACTCGGCTGGAAGGCAGGCTGTACCGCAATACATACTTAACTGGAAGGTAGGCTGTACCGCAGTGCACACTCGACTGGAAGGTGGGCTGTTCCGCAATACACCGTAGGCTGGAAGGTAGGCTGTACCGCCATACACATTTGACTGCTAGGTTGGCTGTACCGCACTACACACTCGCCTGGAAGGTACTGTACCGCAGCACTACACACTCGCCTGAACGGTAGGCTGTACCGCAGTACATAATGACTGGAAGGTAGACTGTGCCGCATCACACTTATACCTCCCACGGGGCTGTGTTCAACATTGAATACGGAAGAATGACTATGACATCATTAGGTACATTATTTGAATTTCACTTTATATGACGCAACGTATGTCATGTCGAACATAATGGTACCGAGGGGAGACGCACCTGCCTGGTGTCGATGAAATCCTTGATGACGCCAATATACGGCTCGGGGTCTTCATGGTAGTGCTCGGCTATGAATTCCTGCAACGTAACGATATCTAATGAGGCGTGGCGTGATACCGTACGAACACCAGGCACTTAGCCAGGCTGATGCACCTTGGCGAGAGCGCAACTGAAGACAAACAAAAGATGAAAAACGTATTGATACGACAAGTTAATCGAAGCCGGTGATTCCGGCAGCACGGTTTCAGTTGGTGCTTATAACCTGTTACGTACGCTTCTTCAACTAAACGTTTATATTATATTGAATAATTGAAGGGTTGCATATATTCATTGTTTGCTTTCACAGCCCATTTCTTGTAAGGAAAAAAAAACGAAAACAATACAGCTGAGCTCCAATAAAGGTTTCTAACGCAGCATAATTTATGTTCCATCCTTGTTCTAACTTGTAAATATGGCGTCACGTTCAAAGGCTTATTGCAATATCAATATAATGCGTAAACACCACACCACAGCCCGACCTTTCAAAATGTCGCAAAGCCTGTCATCAATAGTGCTGTCTAGACGTTCGACCCTCACCTTGAAAGCATCCGTAAAGTCGATGGGATTGGTCTCTTTAAGTCCAAACGGGATCATTGGTATGTGCTGCAGTTTGCTGCAGAAAAGGGCAGAATGTGAGCCTCACAATATAGGCGTAGAAGATTAATGTCAGCACAGATACAAACGGAAGAAAAATGCAAAATCATATCTGCAATGCAATGCCTTACTTATGAAGCTACCTATAGATGATCGTTGTTCGATACTAACCTGTCGTCATTTTGATACACATCCACGGAGCTGTTGAGGTCGGATAGCTCCTCCTTGAGAAACTGCAGGTTTGAGTTGAGGAAGCTGAGCTCCAGCGATACCGCCTGGCGAACCTTCTTGTTCTCAGCCGCTCTGAAAGCACGGAAATCATATCATTTTGCCGTAAAACGCATATATCTAGCGATTTATAGGTAGACCTTGCTAAAAGCATGGCTAACATGTAGCCAGCGAATAGGTGCAAACGGTGCGGTACGTCTCAACGCCGAATCATTGCTTGTTTAAAGTCACACATCCAAAGCTTTTGAAGCATTTGTTGTAATTAAAGAAAATATGAACATTTCTTGTGAATCAGATCGGTATTTCATCCAGCCGGCCAGCACGTAACCAGCAAACCAACATAACGTCGGAGCGACCGTTACATGAACCGACTGACCTAAGCGGCTCTCGACCCCCTGTCGAATGAACCGAGTGGATGCTCGACTCCCTGTCAACTGACCTGAGGAGGTTCTCGGCGCCCTGTCGCAGCAGCAGGTGTTTGTTGATGTCGACATTCAGCCGAGAGCGGCGGTACTGCAGCTTGCCCCGGCACGTGGCGGCTCCTGGGTCCGAGCCCTGCAGGAGGACACGGGGCGGGCGGTATTGTCAGTGCTACTGCAGCCGCACAGAACCAGCTATAATCCGAAAGTCGTGGCGGCAGTCCCGCAGGACTTGTCAAAAACAATCGCACAGCCGGGGCATACCGAATGAATCACACTCGATTTTCACAATAGCCTCAGACTGCGTTCTTCTTCGATGCGGTTGTAAACAAAGCTCATTTGAGTTATGCGAATGGCGCACGAAGAAAGTTATGACCGGAATCGGTTTGAAATTTGGCTTGGAAGAGAGATCGACAGCGCAGCGAATAGAGTTTGCTCTCAACCCAATACCTACATAACCAGAACCCACACAGTGCCGGTTATGTGAAAAGGGGTCAACTCTACCGGTCTTATAGACCGTAACAGGTTACCGTTCCGTCCCGACTGAGAGCAAGGTCGCGTAATTCGTAGCACTCTCCATCTCACAGGTAATACGAACCGCTAATGGTTCGGTCAATTTACAAGTATTACGGTCCTCGAATGGGCTCGGTCATTTCGCTGTAATTTGTCGACGGCACAATTATATTACCCGTAACTGAGACGCACTCTCCAAGCAGCTCATGGACCACACACCGTTCCCTAATGGGATGAGAGACATTCGGGTTCATATCGAGGTGAGATAATTTCCTTTTCAGACCTCTCGACCAAACCTTCCAGTTGTGAGGATGTTCTGGTTTCTCACCACGAGCGTCACGATTGAACGACTCAGAGCGGGATCGGCACAGAGCTACCGGCAAGGCGCTAACAGTTCCCAGACATGCACGTGAATGACAGGCAGCGTCTGTCTGCGACTGGGTCACGGGGCCGGCCGGGTCACGGCCTGTAATGGGCCCTCTGTGTGAGCGGAGAGTCTGCACAGTCACACTGTCAAACGCTGCCGTTGTGCAACGCTGAGGACGGATCTCTGATTCCCGGACTGAGGTTAATCGGCTCATAGTATGGAGACAGATGAATCAACTGTGTGTGGTTTTAAGAAGGGTGTTGTGCAATAGGGCTGACGTTTCTTAGGATGCTAAAAGTAACGCTTGATTTATCATCTTTGTTTTGATGTGAAGCTGATTTAGCTGGGAAATTGAATCCATTGTTGTGTGCTGGAAAGCCATTACGCTCCCTGCCATTTGGATGGCGAGTGGTCGCCGCGAGGGTCTGCAATGACACTTGAGTGACATCCCTAATAAATATTGAAATCTTTATCTACAGAGTTTTAGGACAAAAATAAAAGCAAACTCTTCCTTACAAGTTTGTAGCATTCATTGTGACCGAAGGTTTGCCTACGTGGTTTACCAATTGTACTCGCTTAAAACGGTATAGGAAATGCACACATATTGAAACGAACGTTTGCTTGTTTAGGACGGTTCTAGGTAGAAAAACGCCAAAGGTCAGGCCGAGGTAACTTAGTGAAATTTTGCCACATATAATGGTTCTATAGTTTTAATAATTATAGGTAGAATTCCTGAACCATTTACGAACAATATGCATTTGCACATTTACTGGAAAGGCATATACAGCACACACAACAAAAAAAAAAAAACGAAGCCCAGTTTAACGCTGCAGATCATAAATTTACTTGACTTATGTGAATGTTTTCCCATTACTCAAAGATCTGTGGACTGCGCAGCACCTCGGTCAAACGTGCAAATCGCGCCGACAATGCTAAATCGAACCGTGAAATGTCTGAACAATACGATCATAATTCCTATCGCTCTTCTATTTTTTTTTTCATTTTTGCGGCACTGCTCATGAGGGCCCAATCAATTCACAAGTCTGAATAGCGCCCAACGCCAAATAGAAATAAACGTCACGTTTTCATGTCCGTCTTGCGAGATGACTCGCAGAAACAGATGGCACGGATGAACGTGACGGAAATTACAAGCTGAGAATGAGACGTGACATCTATTGTGGTCTCTATCTCACGCGGTTTCAGCCGGACTCAGAGTGGTGAGTCGACGTATAAATGGTCGGACGGTGACGCTACATCGGAGTGTGGAGGATCTGCCGACTGAAATTCTCTGTATAAAAGGCAGCGTCAGCAGAGGGAACGACCCTCCAAGGCTGCCGCACTGCAAGTGTCTGCGAGACATGGAACGACGTAACTAAGGACGAGTGACCAGCGCGTGATCACGCATTAGGAACGCGTGCATGCCGACTTCAGCTAAACATCAACATTATACCAATACATTATACCAACAACTCAAACATGCAAAGCAGCTCTTCAATCGGGCTATGGGAGCCAGAGGCGCTCTTTTCCCACCGCTACCACGTCAGGCCAGCGGGCGCGCTCTCTCGCTCTCTCCCTTGTCGGGTGCCCTGACCGTTCTGCCCCGAGTGTGACCTCGCGCCCGCCCGCCCGCAGCCCGCGGCTTAGGCGAGGTCGCCTGACGAGTATGCATGCCCCACGGGCTGTGCAAAAAGGATCATATCACTAGCTGTGGAATTGCCCGTAACGGGCTGACAAGCAGATTTTGAAAACATCATGAAATCAGTGCGCCTATTGAAGTTAGCGGCTCGATACGCAATTGAGTTTATCATCTTACATTAGATGTGAAATAGGTAACGAAGACCGCTACTCCGACACAGTATAGGTATGTTCTATAAACATCTGACCAGCGGCCTTGGAACACTTATCGATTTATTACTTTTTTGGCTGAAGATACTTGTACTTTATTAGGTATGCATTATGCATAATCTTATTCGTTTTCACTTTTCTATATAGGTAGGCTGGAAGATTTTTTCGTGGTTCTAAAATTGCTCATCTTTATGTGTTACTATACTTAATTCGTCGGGGTCACATAATCTGAACAACAATTTCAAATTTCTCTAGCAGATACACAATACCTTGGCCCTTTCTCGGAATCAAGGATTCCTAGGAACGAACAGACACCAATCAATTACCCACTCCGAGACAAACGATTAACATCTATCCTCCTGACCCGTCCAAAAACGGTCGTCACTCAGTTTTTGTCACGAACTAGCGATTGAAATGCTGATGGCCTGGGCCCGGCCCGGCCCGGTTCGATCGGCCAGCAGCTCACATGAGCACCTGACGACAGAAGATCAGCTGAATTCTCCGACAATCGTGACCGGCATGTTTTAGACGGTCGGGCGAACGCCCACGCTGGATCGCTGGAACGCCCTTGGAGGACGGCCACTGGGCCGGGCCAGGCTCATTCACCGGGAACAAATAGCTGCTCAGCTGCTGTATTGAAGGCGGATAGCCTTGGATTTTGTTGCTTGTAGCTGTTAGTAGGTGTTTATGTGTACACAATACGTTATGCCTGATTACAGCCTCAAGTTAGCGAGAGGCACCACACCACGCGCGACAGACCCTACAGGGCTCGTCAACTTTGGAACGATTGAACGGCATATGACTTATAGGGAATGACCGACGGCAACCCAGTGCATGATCGCAGGTGTTGATTCTTACCTTTTTGATGGCCTTGTTCTGGGATCGCTCCACGGCTGCTAGCAGCTCCTTCTGCGACAGTCCCATGCTGATCACCGGATGAGTCCCGACCAGCAGCTCCTCCGTCCGCTCTTCCTCACTCTCCACCTCTCTCCTAACCCATGTGACCTCTCGGCACGAGGGTGGACCTCGGTCCGGGTCACCACTCTGCACTCTCCCTCAGACCACACAGGCACACACACCCGCCCACACCACAGAACCGGCACTGCCGGCCGGCCCCGACCGCTTCACTCAGTCGCGAATGGCAGTGATCCACCGCCCCGGGCTCCGCGACACTAGCGCCGCCACGCGGGGTCACGCGGAAACTGGCGACCGGCGGGCCGGCTCATGAGCCGAAGCGCCGTCTCTACGCCGGAATTTTCATGGTCACAGCGGCCAGAATTCGAGAACTCAGCACTATCACAGTACGGATGATGACTGAAACGTAGCATCGTGATGACGACTTCCCCGACCCTGAAGTCCACTGCAAGGTCATCCACTAGACGCAGCAAAAACTACTATTCCGTGGCCGTGCCCGAGACGGCGTCACGGGTGAGCCGTTTGCCATAAAGCCGTCTATCAAGCATTCATTTAAAGGTGATCATCACCTTCCTATTGCGCCCACATCCAATCGAGAGCCGATTCCGATGACTCATTCCCGCAGCTCTGGACGCAGTGACGCCCATCACCCGTGACCTGTGGGCGACCTTTGACCTCTGGACGGCTCTGACCTTCAGTGAACATTTACGCCACGCCAGACATCACGGCGACAGGGCCTGAATAAGGCAATCAGCCAAACGAAAAGCCTGAAATCGATCGGTTTGTGCGACATGTGAATCAGAGACGTCGTTTTTTAATTCAGTGATCGGTGATGACTTGGGCGCCAACCCCCGGATAAATGGAGGACATAGCCACATGAAAATGTATTCATGAAAACTGCGTTTATAATGGTGTGGAAGAGTATGGTTGAGGTCGCCCTACATTTCTTTTGCGTTTTCTAAATGCGCAAATTGCATTTGAGGCATTCCGTAAAGCCAGAGATTCGATTCAAGAGGGCATTTGCAGCGGTTGTCAAAAGACAAGATCGTCAATTAAAATTACTACTACAAGTTGAGTAGTAAGAGACAAGTTTATCTTATGAGACGGACACAACACATTCGGGTGGACGTGTTCCGTCGAGACCTCTTCAACACCCCTCAGTCTACATAGAGCGTGTCAACTAGTGAGTAATAACTCTAAATTCATGGACCCGTCACCCGAGCACTGGGGCATTCATGTTCCATTTGACCTTTCGATACAAAGTCTCGGGTCGGCACGAACTATTGAAACATTTATCTCGAATTCGAAATAAAACGTTGGCCGAGACTGGTGTAGCAACACCAAACCGCTGGCGTTGCCGAACAGGCGCTTTGCCGAGCAACAGGTAAGAACGGTACCTTTTGGACGAAGCGTAATGAGAGGAATGAAACTGACGTTCGATACGACCCCGGATGCTTTATCAGTTAGGTATATCGAACAGGTATCAATAGGATCGCATGCAAACAACAGGAAATCCTCGACCCCGATAGAATAAGACAACGGCTGGCTTAGTTCCCATTGATAAGCACCCACTCGCGATCTGAATATGTTCGTCCCGTTAGAACCCCCCCCCCCCCCGACACTGAGAACGAGATAAGGTCATCCGAGGTCGGGGCTACCGTCTCCACTCCACCGATTTACTCAGGAATCCTTGAGCGCAGCGGTCTGGCCAGCTAGAGCGCACTGTTTATAACACTTTCGCCGTCGTCAGAACATAATTTGGTGGCGGACGCTGTGATTGTTTGACGTTGGTCCGTCGCTCTCGGAAAATCTGATGACTGTGCTGACAGCTGATTGCTGCGGAAACAATCTTGGGAGAAATTCGCTCAGCGCAGCCCGCTAATGTGAGTCTCTGTTTAGACGTTCCTATATCAATGTGAGAACTCAGGATTCAAACATGAACTTTCGACTTGGTATCTTGTAAAGGTTTGGCTAAAGGTATGATTCAGATAGGATGGACCCGAATTCGATGAGTAGGCGGAAAAGACAATTCTAATGATAGCTGATAAGTAAGCACTCACACTCGCCTAAATAGTTCAGTTCCCCTGTTGCAGATGAAGCACCTGAGAAGTGTCCATTTGATTCATCAGAAGGGCTTGTCGTATCAATATGTGCTGATACAGCTGAGACTACTAACGGCTTAAACATGCGCTGCAAAGTGTTTTCCTAGGCGATGATGAAAGAGACAAGCTATCTGCTACAAGTTATAATAAACGACTCTCATCGCAGTAGTTCCTCTCTGATAGGCAATCAAATCGAGCGGTGATCACATTGGTCGAATTTCGCTACTTTATATCGGCAAATGAGTCATTAATACAGTCATTGCTTATCTGGCCTTTGTGAAACAATGACACAAAAGTCGCCTGTCGAGCGATGAGCGTCATCCGCCAGTAGCCGCACCGGATGACACCGTACTCGCGGAGAAATCGCCAGCTACGAAAGTGACGCGAGCGTCACAGAATCGGCGCGTCACGGCTGTGACGTCATAAATGTCTCTCACTCGGGGGGTGAGGGGAGGGAGTACTTCTCACGACCATTGAGGTCGGCCGGGCAACTTTCGTCTGTCATTGTGAAGTCGGTGTACTTGGTAAACGGTGCCGGAAGAGAGTTCAACTGTACTGAGAGTGAACTCGGCGATTTATTGTGATTTCTGATGTAACCGCTATGGTCTCAAGGCTGGAATCTTTTCAATGGGGAGATTGGACGTGATGATGACTACGACATAGGCTGCTGTGAATGCGTAAGGCTCGCGAAAATGCAATGACACTTAGGTAGCACGTAGCAGCCTGTAACGTTCAAACATCGTTTGAGCTGTGAGAAATACGATAAATCTTCCCTACAAGTAGTAGCCCATCCAATACTGCACAGTTCTGCGTTTGTTTTCCAACCTCACCCACGGAATCAGTATAAAGCCTACTTCCTCACTACGTCTCTTTGCATTGCAGAGTCCCCTGTGCGCACTGCGCAGCATACAATATCCGCCGAGAAGTGGCCCCTGTCCGAACCTTTCCCTTCAGTCTGTCTGCACTCTCAGCCTCTGCACTCTGCAGGGAGCGGGTCAGCTCCGGACGGGAAAGGAAGGGAAGATAACCATCCGGATGCAATGTCGCCCCTGGGGAGCATACAACCGGAAATCCGGAAGCGATATATGACGATACCCACAGCTCCGGACTGAGCTGGTTGGCATGCTACAGCGAGGCACGACATAGGGTATTATGACACAGGGCCACAGAGGATCCCAGTGCCAGCCGTTCCGTGTGGTATCGCACTCAGGTCAGGAGCTATCGCGCCGCACACGTAAGGAGTGATAGGGCGACACATAATGACAACATATGCCGGGCAGGGCAAGGACGACGAATATCAAACATGATATGAAACGGTCATATCGAATCGACATTGCACAATGCGCGTATAGGTACGGCCGATGAATTTTTCTGTCGACTATACATAAGCAAGAATCGAAACTATTTGGCATGCTACTTAGAAAGCGCTTTAGTTGTGTGGCCTTGTCGTGGCCCAATCTGTTAGACTCCGTGCTCGCAGTAAACTATTTCCGACCCCTGTTTACCAACACGGCACTGGCAGACACAACACTCAGTCGGCTCTCCGAGGCCAGCCCCGTGTGTCTGACACCACTGTTGTGCCACCCACGAGCCAAACTCAGAGCGTCACGCGTCACGAGCAGCCCAGTTACGACCGCGGCACGGGTCACGGTCACGAAGGGCAAACAGACCTCACGGCGGTGGGCGTGAGCTCAAACAGACACCCTGGGTGGTTCCGACCGGTGCCGATCACGATCTTAGGCACTGTGATGCATGATACGGCTTCCGGTGGCAAGGACAAGCGTTGTGGTGCGGTAGCAGGGCTATTGCTTTTGCCTCTTGGACTTGCGAAGACGAGACTCAATTGTTGGGCATTGAACGGTTCAAATATCCATTGAGAGGAATGTTCATGCAGAACAGCGTCAAAAGGAATACCACGCATGTTACAGGCATGTTCGAAGCTAGTGTTGGCGGCTATCCTTCCAGTTCCTTTGAAAACTCAACCCACATCCACCGACGAGGCATTGTGTCTATTCCACCCGACCAAGAAACGAGTCAAGCGCTGCAATTTGGTCCGTCCAAACCGTTAGCGCACCAAGCGTCCAAAACCACTCGATGCAGTGACACGATCATCAATCCCAGTTGCCCGGTCACGACTCTGGCGACCCACCCCGATTGAATCAGTCTGGACCAGTGTCGTCTCTGTCTAACACAGCTCTGTCGAGCCCCGCGCCTGGCGACAGCAGGCTCAGAGCTGGAGTTGGGTTGTCCAAGGTGTTTTCATTTACATTATGCAGTGAGGCTGCACCCTTCTATTGCAGTGTCGATATCTCGGTGTCCCCGCCCGGGCTACTGTCGCCGACAGAGCTTAGTGGAGTTATTCGTGGCCTCGACTCTGCTGTGATTGCACCGTATCTGTGATTTACGGCATGTGATGGGAGTCTGACAGATGACTGAATTCTCGTAACCGTGTCTTTCAAGGTGGTATCAGTCATCAGATTTTACTGTGTTTGCGGTTGTATTATTTTCGAGCATGTAGACCGCACTGTTCGGAAGGCCAACATGGCTCTGGGACTACTCATGCGCACGTACGCGACAGGAAAGCGCGGTCGATCTTTCAGTTTGGCGAACCATCGTGCCATCATGTCAACTTACTTTGCAAATGTCCGTTCAATTCTGGAATATTGCAGCGTGGTGTGGGCTGGAACGGCTCAAACACATATGAAAAGGATCGAACGTGTCCAGGAAAAGTTTCTAGTTTGGCTCTGTGCCCGCTGCCGTGTAGATGCAGCAGTTTCCTTGGACTATGGTGAACTCGTCACATACTTTAAGGTCAACACCATTGCTGCCCGACACAAGCAGCATGATATGTTTATACGAAATGTCCACAGGCACCGGATAGACTCGCAGTTTTTGGTAGAGAAGTTCCCCATCGCTGTACCCTTCCGCCAACTACGCACTCAGGCCTTGTTCGCTGTGTCATTTGCAAGAGTTGAAACGGTTCGTTCTTGCGCCTTCAACCGCATACCAAAGGCATGCAACGCTTTTCTTGATGTAAACAGAGATGTGGATGTATGGGAGAGCGGCGCAATGGAATTCAGAACTAGAGTGAAACGGCATGTGATGGGAGTCTGACAGATGACTGAATTCTCGTAACCGTGTCTTTCAAGGTGGTATCAGTCATCAGATTTTACTGTGTTTGCGGTTGTATTATTTTCTGTGTTGTGTTATGTGTATGTCTATTTATTGAGTTTTATGAAATGACTGCACCTGTTACTGGGTATGCTGCCCGTTGGTGTTGAATTGAAATAAAGAATTGAAATAAAGAATAAAGAATAAAGTATCTTGATGCGAGCCCGCCGTTCGCATCGTATTAGCAGGAAATAAATACAGGGCTGTAACGTTAACTGATAGGGACCGCTGTCACCTACTTTCCAAAATCCGAATGCATTAAAAAAGGCCACATACCGGCCACTATCTTAGGACCCAAGGCTATGCAAAGCCTAGGACCTGACTACGGTAATCACCCAGACTACAGCCCACACCCACTGCCCAGCTGTCTGACTATGAAGCCACCCATCGCCCACCGCCCTTTCTGCGACCACCAGCAAGCGATCTTGGCGTCCCCTCCCACTTCCTACCACCCCGACCACACACACAGTAGACATGAGCCACTGTGGCCACCGTCCAGTAGCGGCGGAACACCTTCAATTAAGGGGGGTACCGCCGACTTTTGGTCCCATTCTTTCCATGCAACGCCCATAGGGCTAATGTTAAAATGGCAAAATCAAAGGGGGGGGGGGGCACGGTGCCCCGGTGCCCTCCCCGTTCCGCCGCCTATATGCCACCGTCCACTTCCGTGGCCCGCTGCCCGTCACCCAGTGACAAGCGACCACCTGACGCCAAAACAGTCGGAACAGACGGCGGTCGCCGCGACGGAGCACTTTCGCTTTCACGTGTGATGAGACCCGTCACAAGCTGAGCCATTCGGCGCGGATAAACGCGCCCTGTGGTGCGGAAGGTGTGATTTGTCCCACTGCTCGCCTCTTGGCGCTAATGCTGTGGCTACCAGACACGGTAAAGAGCAGTCGCGGGGGGGGGGGGGGCTGACGGTGCAAAACAGACATGCTCTAATTATAGGTGTCTGGCTCCGCGCACATTGTTCACAATCACATGCCTCTCCGGAACATTTCGTGTCTGTGGTTGGTATAAGATGAATACTTCCATGTTCGGGTTAGGCCCTTTCAATTTGAAGGGACCAGTGTGGATTTCTATTTTTAGGTACGTACCTAAGCATCGGTTAGACTTTTGCGCATGTTTTCACATAAACACGAAAGACCTACGGCCTCGGGCCTACGCTTTCCAGAACACAGATCAAATAAAAAATATCGCAGCGAGAGTACACGAAGCGCAAGCAGGAAATCCACCTCGGTGAGTTTAATTAATTCTCCTCAAAGGCCGTCACATCGATGCACGCATTCGTAAAAAGGAAAACAAAGCCGGACGGTAAAACCAATCCCGATCACACGCGGGTGAATCCTGGGCTCATGAAATCTGCGAACTCCTCTCTCTCACTCTCTGTCTCGCTCTCTTTCTTTCTTTCTTTCTTTCTTTCTTTCTTTCTTTCTTTCTTTCTTTTTCTCTCTCTCTGTTTCTCTGTCTCTGTCTTTGTCTTTGTCTTTGTCTTTGTCTCTGTCTCTCTTTCTTTTTCTCTCTCTCTCTCTCTCTCTCTCTCTCTCTCTCTCTCTCTCTCTCTCTCTCTCTCTCTCTCTCTCTCTCTCTCTCTCTCTCTCTCTCTCTCTCTCTCTCCCAAACCCAGGCACTTGATCCCGCCACTCCAGTCCAACCTACAGAGCTTCAGCCGCGCCCCGGGGGTTCGTCGTTCTTCCCAGAACGCCCGCGCGACCTTCGCCGAGTCGTCGCTCCGGGCACTTGGCATACGGAATGGCGAATTACTGGGCTCTTCTATCCCACTGATCATGGCAGGCCGCGACGGTCAAGTTCGCGTCAAGGTGGCTGCGAGGCTCTAAGGCGGGCCCAGTGGTCCATGGGAATGACGTCCTGCAGGTGTTTCATGACGGCCATTAACGTTCGTGACGAATTTTCGCACATGAATAGTAAGGTAGACAGTTATGGCTGCATACAATTACGTATACTGATGTTAGCCTGCTGGCTGCCAGGGATATAACAAAAAAAAATGAGTTATTTTGATTCGAAATAGCCCTTTGATAATCAAACAGCTGTGGACTATAAATATAAATGAAATGCATGAGCAAGGCCGGGAGCCCAACCGTGTCCTTAAGATGTCATAAGATTCATAAGATGTCATGAGCTTTGAGAGCACCATGCTGCATCTGGTCTTTCCCACAACCTGACCTCTCCCTTTGTCCTGTGTCGTCTGCGACCTGAGGCTTCCTCCGACCGGCCCTGTCCATCAAACCGATCGGGCGCGGACGTGTGGGTATGTAAGTAGTCCACAGAGATGGAATCACCTACCGGCGGCCGGCCGCGGTCACAGTACCGCTAGGTCACGCGCCCCGCAGTCGGGCGGTCAGTCCGTCAGTCAGACAGGCAGTGAATCGGTCACCACCACGGCAAGAGCTGGAATGATCTCACTTTTTTTTTTTTGCTAATAGCTATATAAGTTTGTTAGTATAATAATTTGCCATCCCTTCACAACGACGCCCATAAAAGTTCACCCAATTATTCGGAGCAATGAAATCAAAATAGAATGCCAAACAGTGGTTCGTCAGTAGTGCAGTTGTATATACGGTTTGCAAGATATGTTGTGACAAAGTTGCACACACAACGCACATTTAATATCTTCATTTTATAAGTAAAAGTCACATGAGATCCTTCAATTGTTGAGATCACAAAACAAATCGACTGAAAGATGCAATGTCAGTCACATCTTTCCATAAAACACTCCGAGAAAGAAACCAGTAAACAATCGAAACCACACCACGATAAAACATAGACACGCATAAGCTCACATGTCGATGCTGACTGAAACATTCGTGGACGGAATCATTCGGCTTGTTGCCAGCCGTACAGGCGTGTCCAGCCTACAGGTGGCTGGTACGTCAAATTAGCTAGTGTCAGTGAGCTCGTGTAACATGTGACGTGCTTCTCAGAATCGATGGTACCACCTTTCTCCGAAATTCCGAGGACGGAATTTTTCCAAGGTTGTTTCTGATGTGACACGCCGTACTTTCTTTCGATATCGATGTTACCACCTTTTTTCGAAATTCCGAGGACGGAATTTTTCCAAGGTTGTTTCTGATGTGACACGCCGTACTTTCTTTCGAACCGAATTTCATGTAACACACTGTCCTATCTCCGAGCCGTGTTGGCCGATTGCCGATCGATGCCGATCGATACGCTCCGCTGCTCTCTATAAAAGCAGCGGCGACGCGGACGCGGGGACACTACACATTCGTTCACTCACGCTGGAGGACTGTCAGTCATTCGCGGTGTGTGATCGTTCGGTGTGAGAATCGGGGCTGACTGGTCGGCTTCTTGACCCCCCTGCGACCGACAACTATCATGTAAGTCCGGCAGCGCGTCGCCGGTCATTCGGCGGCATTAGATTCTCCAGCCTATCGAATGCTTTATTTTTGGCCCACTAACTTAAAATCTGAACCTGTCAATTGATTCAAATATCTCGGTAAATGGTCACTTACTCGTGGAGTTCAGACTTCTGCATCATTTTTGTGTGCGTACTGTTAACGTCGTCATAAAGAGTTGTGCAAATCTTGTACCCACTATAACGCCTTCGCTTGCTCTGAAGTTAGTTTATGTCTGTGTGCATTCACGTGTGTATGACGCGGATTGTGCATGTCAAATATGTCGTGCTCCCACTGCCACCCCTACTCCCTCCTCCTGAAATTAGCACGTAACATACAATATAACCCACGTTAATTATTTTTATGTTTACAGATATCTACTTGGAGTTAGAAGATGGAAAAGTTCATATTTCATGAGTTGCCTCACTTCTCTGGAAGTCAAAACGTTCTAGACTGGATTGATCATATCGAGAGAGCAGGGTCGTTTGCAAAATGGGATGACGAAGAGATCAGGAAGGTTGCAAGATTGAGGATTCGGGGCGAGGCCTCTGAGTTTGTTGGACATCTAGAATTGGAAGACAAGGCCGGTACTTGGAAATCACTGAAGAAGTTAATGATCGATGTTACGCGGCGTTTCCGATTAATATATTGATATTTCGATGTGATGATGCTGTCGATGCTGATTTTTGTCGTGGTACCGTGATTTTCTTCCTGTTTCCTTTAGTTCTGGTCGTAATGCTCTCAACTAGTCTTCGTGCAAATCTTGTACCCACTATAACGCCTTCGCTTGCTCTGAAGTTAGTTTATGTCTGTGTGCATTCACGTGTGTATGACGCGGATTGTGCATGTCAAATATGTCGTGCTCCCACTGCCACCCCTACTCCCTCCTCCTGAAATTAGCACGTAACATACAATATAACCCACTGACGAAACTAGACTATGATGGCGAATGAGGGGTTATAACGAAAGGGAGATGATCGAAGCGATGGGTTGACGAGGTCGGGTAGATGAGTAGAGTAGAACGGGTTTCAGAAATTGTGGTCTATAATTGGGTAGCAAGGCTAACAAATGATATATCTCGGTCAAATATCAAGGGGAGTGGGTCGATTTGAGCGTTGAGGATCTGGGGGTTGGCCTCTTATTACTTTGCTATTAACCTGCGGTCATTAGCTCATACTAACGCTTGGATGACGCCAACTGACAAAACCAGATAATTTCAGTAATCAACATCTTGTTTAAAAAAAAATCTTCAGAGCTCAGCATGCCATTTGACGGTAGTTTTCCTGTATGCATTCGCAATTATCCGGATAGTTGTTACTTGCTAGTAGGTCTCAGTTCGCTTATCATCAATTGCAGCTCAAGGAGGTTCAAAATGAAACACCTTCCCAGATTGAAATAATGATTGAGCGTTCGATGTTTCTGTTTTGTTTTTCGTAGATGACTCGTTAACGGATTAACGTATATTGTCGAGTAATTTAGGGTTCTAAAAATCTGCAACAAGTAATTCAATGGATTGTGTACAATTATAATTCACTGAGCCAAATCGAAACCGGTATACCATGGTGGCAATAAAATCGTTCAAGTAACCGGCCCTACCGATTTACTGATTTTCCGCGGTTCGAACTAAACATGTTTCGCCACATTCCCTCCTACATTGACGAGAGCCATATTTCATTTTGTACTAGCATACTTTACAATGGCGTGGTACTCAGAAACTTTGCAGTAAGTTCATTATTGATGAATTAAAAAATCAAAGGCTGATTTTAACAGAACTGAAGTAAATAACGAAAAGTAATGAAAACTTGAGTTACAGACCGTAATTACTAACAATCGTGATTACAATCCACGAAACCTCTCAACATGTTACAAACAAGTTACGACAACCTTATAAATTACTAACTATTTCACCAAGAAAACCTTGCAAATTGACAACGAACCCAGAACGCTCTATTATACGAAGTTTCGGAAGTTTAAGCAAACATGTCAAATAATTTCCGCCATAAACTGAAAATCCCCCCTGGTACTACTTTTTCGTAGTTACAATCGTGTGAACGGGCCGCGATGTAAAACAATGAACAATTCTGGCTTAATTATTTATTACTATCATTTAAACTCCTACGTTTCCAACAAAGCAAATTACGCAATGCTGTTAGTTAATTACGCCCTACACACGCATTCAATGTTTTGCGGCTGAACGTTTTGCATTCTATTTCATATAATACGGCATGGTTAAGTGCGGAGTACGTTGATTTCCAACTTTACTATATTTCTCGGTAAAGGCACGTTTTCTAGATGAAACCCAGGCATAGAAAAACGCATGATTAGGAACGGATATAGTGTCTAGTTTTATTACTGGTTAGCTTTCCCTCAAAACGTAATCGCGATGCCCGCTTTAATTTTGTGATGAATTATACCTTCGGTGCAGTGTCTCTCAGCAGTGAAATTGATGCCAATGGGGCATTACGTAGATGTCAATTTATTCTATTGTCAATTTGTTCAGTTGTTCTGGTTGAAGAACCCTCTTATTGTCATTCAGTGTGACTGGTAGATTTGGTTAACTACGTCAATATAACTTTGCCTAATTCAGTAAAACTCCAGACGCGCCGTTCACCCAATTAGTCGCAGCCGCTTAGTTTCGGGGACGCCGTATCATTATCATTTAGTAATGTCCTATACTTGCTTAAGGACTATTCACCTAATTGACATTCAGTGCGTCTGGCACATTTGGTAAACTACGTCAATATCACTCCGCCAAACTCAACAGAATTCCAGGCGCGCCGGTTCGCCTATTTAGCGTCAGCCATTTGGTAGGGGACGCCGCATCGTTATAATTTATGCAAATTGTTAGTGCAGCAGATAACCGAACGATTTTGGGACCAAGTCAATAAGATAAACAGTCATTGTCAGTTGGCTCCATTCCTCTATTCAGCGACTAATTTACGGGATAACAATTGTAGTGGTTAAGAGAGACATACGGCCTGGCGCTACACCAGCCGCCCTTACCAGGAAAATAGTCCAGTCGTTACCATTATATCGAATGGGGTAGATTATTACTACTTATTGTCATTGTCGACATCATGCCCTGCACCAGTGAGGGCTGCGACGAGTCCACTTCTAGGACACATGTCATGGTGTGTGACGCCTATTTACTGTAAAGTTTCTACAGCACCAACCCAGATCTCCCGACTGCTCTGTGAGCGCTGGGTTTACTGCCCCCATAAATGAGACAGCGACGGCTGGCCATGCGTGGCCGTAATTACCTCTCTATGGAAGCGAGCTGAAGCGTGTTAGTACGGTATACCCAATCGACTGGATTACACTTTTTCAATTGTCGGGGAATGAGAAATAAGTGCTGCCCCCCCCCCCCCCCCTGTTCCGGTCAAGGTAGTGCGATTGTACTTAAGGCAGTGTTGGTCGTTGCATGGAGATACCACCTGCATGCCTCCACACATTTTCGAATGGTTGGAGACGTGCCATTGGCTGGCTGAAGGTCAGATCCAGTTTGGGGGCCCGTACTGTCGTGAGCCGGCAGTGAAACGGGCAGGCGTCGTTGTTCGATTGCCTGTGCTGCCGCTGGTGAGAAGCGGCGGTGCAGGGTGCGTGCCTGATTAGCTAACCCGGATGTAGGGTGATGCATCACGCTGACGCCGTTGATAGATATCCGGGTGAAGTCCGCTGTGGTATTCCGGACGGTCCCGATGTTGTTTTCCGGGTGTAGTCTGCTGTGGTATTCCAGACGTACCCCGTTATGTTGCCGGGTTAAGTCCGCTGTGGTATTCCGGACAGTCCCGATGTGGTTTTCCGGGAGTAGTCTGCTGTGGTATTCCAGACGTACCCCGTTATGTTGCCGGGTTAAGTCCGCTGTGGTATTCCGGACAGTCCCGATGTGGTTTTCCGGGTGTAGTCTGCTGTGGTATTCCAGACGTACCCCGTTATGTTGCCGGGTTAAGTCCGCTGTGGTATTCCGGACAGTCCCGATGTGGTTTTCCGGGTGTAGTCTGCTGTGGTATTCCAGACGTACCCCGTTATGTTGCCGGGTCAAGTCCGCTGTGGTATTCCGGACAGTCCCGATGTGGTTTTCTGGGTGTAGTCTGCTGTGGTATTCCAGACGTTCCCCGTTATGTTGCTGGGTTAAGTCCGCTGTGGTATTCCGGACAGTCCCGATGTGGTTTTCCGGGTGTAGTCTGCTGTGGTATTCCAGACGTACCCCGTTACGGATTCCGGGAGTAGTCCGCTGTGGTTTTCCGGACGTACCTCGAGGTGGTTAGAGTTCCGTGAGTCTAAGGAATCACGACAAAAGGGTATCTCATGTAACGGGGCTACATGGTGGTGCCATGATTAGCCGCTTGGAGGGAGCTACTAATTTCTGGGATCCACTTCCGAAGTATGGTTGTCGTGCGAATGTGATTATTACTAGCTCGTTCCGGAAGCTCCTAATTGCCGAGTAGGCCGACTCTGTGGTCAATTTCGGCTATAGGTTGCTTCCAGGATGACCTGGATAATGAACGAGAGGTGAATGCATGTAATAATGTCAGTTGCGGAAGCCCGGAGATAATGATGCTAGCTGCCCACCCCGACCATTTAACACTTGCCAAAAAAGTCAGATGAACTACTCTTGATCGATATTGTTTGTGACCGCTCTGAGCGGGCCTGTATTGCCCGGGCGTGTCCACCAGTCGCACAGCATCACCAGCTGCTCGTTTATGACGCTGAACAGTGAAATCGATACGCAATCTCAGAGAGAATAGCACGGCTCTCAGTACAGCCGACCGACAGTGTGCAGGTGCCACTGCACTCATCGCTTGGTAACTATCCAAATCGGTAATCGTTTTACAGCCGCGCCGAGCCGCGTGCGCCGCAGGACCGGCGAGGCGTCATTTTATTGTGATTGTTGTCTCGTTCCACCCAGTACAGAATTGACAAGTGTCACCACACGTACTTGACTGATACAACTTTGGCTCGAAACGAACGAATTAGTAACTTGCCTTTAGCCTGTTCTCTCCGCGCGTCTAACAAAGTCTCATTAGGTCACCAAAGTCGACAAGTTTCGAGACAAGTACTTGGACAAGTGTGGCCGTGATCACTAGTCGTGTCCGCTAGCCGTTTTATGGCATAAACGCCGAATCGTAGTTGTCGAAACTAAACAGCCTCCTCTCTCTCTCTCTCTCTCTCTCTCTCTCTCTCTCTCTCTCTCTCTCTCTCTCTCTCTCTAATTACTCGACAATATACGTTAATCCGTTAACGAGTCATCTACGAAAAACAAAACAGAAACATCGAACGCTCAATCATTATTTCAATCTGGGAAGGTGTTTCATTTTGAACCTCCTTGAGCTGCAATTGATGATAAGCGAACTGAGACCTACTAGCAAGTAACAACTATCCGGATAATTGCGAATGCATACAGGAAAACTACCGTCAAATGGCATGCTGAGCTCTGAAGATTTTTTTTTTAAACAAGATGTTGATTACTGAAATTATCTGGTTTTGTCAGTTGGCGTCATCCAAGCGTTAGTATGAGCTAATGACCGCAGGTTAATAGCAAAGTAATAAGAGGCCAACCCCCAGATCCTCAACGCTCAAATCGACCCACTCCCCTTGATATTTGACCGAGATATATCATTTGTTAGCCTTGCTACCCAATTATAGACCACAATTTCTGAAACCCGTTCTACTCTACTCATCTACCCGACCTCGTCAACCCATCGCTTCGATCATCTCCCTTTCGTTATAGCCCCTCATTCGCCATCATAGTCTAGTTTCGTCAGTGGGTTATATTGTATGTTACGTGCTAATTTCAGGAGGAGGGAGTAGGGGTGGCAGTGGGAGCACGACATATTTGACATGCACAATCCGCGTCATACACACGTGAATGCACACAGACATAAACTAACTTCAGAGCAAGCGAAGGCGTTATAGTGGGTACAAGATTTGCACAACTCTTTATGACGACGTTAACAGTACGCACACAAAAATGATGCAGAAGTCTGAACTCCACGAGTAAGTGACCATTTACCGAGATATTTGAATCAATTGACAGGTTCAGATTTTAAGTTAGTGGGCCAAAAATAAAGCATTCGATAGGCTGGAGAATCTAATGCCGCCGAATGACCGGCGACGCGCTGCCGGACTTACATGATAGTTGTCGGTCGCAGGGGGGTCAAGAAGCCGACCAGTCAGCCCCGATTCTCACACCGAACGATCACACACCGCGAATGACTGACAGTCCTCCAGCGTGAGTGAACGAATGTGTAGTGTCCCCGCGTCCGCGTCGCCGCTGCTTTTATAGAGAGCAGCGGAGCGTATCGATCGGCATCGATCGGCAATCGGCCAACACGGCTCGGAGATAGGACAGTGTGTTACATGAAATTCGGTTCGAAAGAAAGTACGGCGTGTCACAGTCACATCAGAAACAACCTTGGAAAAATTCCGTCCTCGGAATTTCGAAAAAAGGTGGTAACATCGATATCGAAAGAAAGTACGGCGTGTCACAAACACAATATAGCCCAATCGCATTCATAGTGAATACAAGCACTGCCACACATCCTTCGAAAACTCAGCTATGCCGTTTTCCACGGTAAGTCCCCAGTTCGCCGCAGTTTGAGCGTGATAATCCCGTCTTTGCTAGATACTACCTGAGCTTGGACGGACGAAGATATGACGGATATTTGACTTTACCTAGCGAGACTTAAACCCGACATATACGACTAAATGATAGCTTAATTGGTGTTTATATGACTAGTTATTGTGAGCATTACGCCTTCAGCACAACAACCGGGATGGTAAAGACGCTCACACGATGGATACCCAAATGGCATTACTGTAAAATATCACATATCTCGACCGGTTAGGAAATTTAGTGGGAATTCGACATCAGCCAGATATTCTTTAACACTGAAGCTACGGAACTTCCATTTCAACAGGATTAAAAACAATTCCACATTACTTTTTTAGAAGTCCTGGGACCTTTGAAGACTACCTTATAAGCTTTTTGATCATTGCATCCCAAAGATTCAAATAATAACAGAGACTAGACTACTAACAGAGACTGTGATAGTATCACACGGCGGGTGTAGGATTCCGCCCGAAACACAATCCACCAAGGGAGATCCTAGACCATGCGTGACTACACCGTCTTCTGACATTCTGCTACCCGGTCTAGGGAGGGCCGCCCTTTGGGAGCCTAGCGCCCTCTGACAAAGCTAGCCAGTCCCAAGGGCAGCACACCTCTGTCCACAGACAAACCCACAGTCTCACCCACACCCGTCATACCACGTACCCCTAGTCCCATCCAGCTGATTTATATCACGTCAGTTGAGATACAGTGATGTCACTACCATCACTGACGGCTGATGTGGTGTGAGACGTTACTAACGTGTGCGAGCTTCAAACCAGGCTCTAATCGGTAGGTGTCGCTGGTCCGGGATAGATCACAGGCCGTACGAGTAGAGGACGGCAGTCAAGGCAGTGCCACTGTGCTAGCAACATTACCTGACATTAGAGATACACTGTGACGTCTTATACAGTGACGTTAGCTACAGGTGACATCACCGATATGTGACGCCATCGATACATAGTGACGTCATCGATGTATAAGGACACTACCTTGTGTTGAGTCGTCCCTCTCATCCTATCATTTCTTCCAACCGAGCCTATCGCCGAGTTCAGTATTGGGATCCCAACTCCCAAGTAACATCTACACCTAGTCTTCAGACATCACCTAACGCCCCAGCACCACCCTGACGTCACGTCACCACGTCACTGCGTCACCCTGTGACGTCAATGCCTCACCAGAAGTCCTCTTCCGGTTCGTCCAGCAGGTTGTCGCGCGGTACCTCGATGCCGGCACCGGTGAGACCGTGCAGGTGAAGATGTTGAACGTCTGGGGAGAGACAGATCGGTGGTCAACAGGGGGTCTGGGGTCAAGACGTTTAGGCCCACAGCAGCTGGGGGCATAGTGAGAGGAATCAGCTCCTATAGACTCAGTTGTCTACCAGTCGCCTGCGACGGAAATTAAATCCTGTAGGCGAACTTATTCTAATCCTACGCGAGCAAGCAGCCTTCAGCGATCTCTTACTTTCATTCAAAAGTTTTATTAGGTAACAAATAGGTCTTCTTTCAATCTTGATGATATGAAAGAATACAAAGCCCAAATGGCCGTGAATACTATTTGAGTACATCCGAAATGCCTGAATGGTCGTGAATGTCATTCGAACACATCTGAAGTCCGTCATGTCCGTACCTCCGCCGGCGCCGTCGGCCTTGTCCCGCTGTTCGGCCGCCGTCTCCGGCTGAGTCCCCGGCACGAGCGGCTCCGGGGCGGTGGCGCCACGCGACTCGGCATCCACGGAGTCTGCCGAGGTGGGCCGCGACCGGTCCAGCTGAGGTGTCGGAGGCTCCACGGCTACTGTTGGAGGCGGCCCGCGACCGGAGGGCACGGGCGGACCGGTGGCCGGAGCTGAGGGTGGAGAGGAGGTGGGTCAAACGCACGTAGCCGGGTGTGACGGCAAGCGGAGACAACACTGCATCCTAAATAGCGTTTCATGTGGCTTGTGTACTGACGCCAATTTCACGACTCAGTGAGCTGATAAGAACACAACACTGATAAAAAAGTTCGACAAATAAATACGAAATATTAGTATTTCCTTAGTGCCGAGAAGATATAATCCATTCCTTTCTCATAGGTCTCGCGCTTCATCCCACCCAAATCTACAGAGTCCATCCACCCTAAAGCCTTTACACAGTTCTCCATCCTCCAACCTCACTGCTGCTCATCCTGTAGCCTCTACACGCCCCTCCCACTGCCACTCACCGTGTAGCCTCTGCGAAGACGACGCGCCGCTGACCGGTCGCCGGGTGCCGCTGCGGGGCCGTGCCGAGCCCAGCCGCTGAGTGAACATCTGACTGATCGGGTGTACGGATGGCGGACGCTCGTCCTTGTCTGCCACCGGCTCGTCGGCTGTAGGCACAGTCAGGTCAGTTCGAGCTCGGGTCAGGGCACCATGTCCAGTCAGAGGGGATGTGGGGGTGCCGGCAGTTGTCTTTCCGGCTCACTAACAATTCAAAGATATTCTTCGATGAGGCCGGCATCGCAGGTGACGCTGCGTCAAGCGTGCTTAGTCAGTGACGGTAACCACTGAACACAATAGTGTGTGTCCCTCCTCAGAGAGGGTCAGCTGAACACGCGATACACTTAAGTTTTTGCATAACAGGAGCAGGCATACAGCAGGGACTTACCAGGCGCATCTGTCCTGTTGACGCTGTCCCCGATCCTGGCCCCAGCCTTCAGCACCTTCTCCAGCAGAAGCGCCAGGTGCCGCTTCAGCTTGGTCGTATCATCCGGCATGGCGAGTGGCGCGCCACTGACTGCCACCCGTCCCGTCTGCTGCTGCAGCGCGCGGTGGAGGTACCCGGCCGCGCAGTCGGCCGTCTCGTGCCAGCCCTGCTCCTGGGAGGGCACACGCCGCCAGCAGAGCGCTGCCGTTAGCAGGTCGGCCTCCTCCGGGGTCAGAGTCTGACTCAGCCGGGCTAGGAGAGCGAGTAGTCTCAGCGCGCAGGAGAGCTGCGCGGCGGACCGCTCCAGACGTCGGTCCTCCTCCGAGAGGGAGTCGGCCTGCGCCATCAGCCGGCGGTACGTCTCCTCCAGCAGCTGGTCCATGTTGGTCAGCGGCGAGGGCGTCATGTCCTTGTACTTGGTGAGCAGCCGGCGCTGGATGGCTCGGAACTGGCTGGCGCGCTGCTCCAGCTGCTGAAGTTGCTGCTCCCGCCGCTGCCGCCACATCAGGTGGGCGTCCACCTCGGAGAACACGTCCTGGAGGGGGAGGGAGGAGACGAACGAGCAGATCGGCTCGTCGGCAGTCTCACCGTACATCGCGCCTGGGGGAGGAAACAACAGACTGGTGAACAGATTCATTTGACGGACGGTTTAGTTAACGGACGAACTTTGCACTTATCGGGCAAACTGAATCTCACAGTGTCCCAAAATTGTGTTTGGGCTTGGGTGTCAGATGGGAAATTCCTCTCCAAAAATGGGGATAAGAGTGGAAAATTGCCAGTCAGATAAGGCACAGTGAAAAGGGATCAATGGCATCAATTTATGTACAAGTGTGGTAAAATGTAAGATGTAAAAAGACCATCCATGCAAATGTTTTTTGTCAGTAAAATCGGGAGTAGAAAATTGTTCTTAAAAATTAGAGATGAGAGTGAAAAATGTTTTTATGTAGTTTCCCACACAAATCAACGCATTTTGGGACACTGGAATATCAAAAACCGACGGCCACCGACAAAAAAAAAAAAAAAAAAATAATAATAATAATAATGCATACATCGTCTGTGTCCACGACTATATATTCACACTGTTTAGCATCTAACTCGAGACCACTCGAGTCCCAAGCCCATCTCCCTCCCCTCCACTGACCGATGCGTCTGGTGAGCTCCTCAGTGACGAGCCAAAGGGCGTGGAAGTCGTCCGACTGTAGACGGTACCGCTGAGACGTCTTGGAGGCCAGGATGGTCACCGTACAGCCGGTGTAGTACTCAATGCCGGCCGCGCTCGACATGCCAGCGTCCAGCTTCAGGTCTGCCGTACGGATGTAGCGTGGAAACAGAGAGGGACGAACAATGGTTGATACGAGGGTAGCAAAACCATGGTGCTGGAAGGGAATCAATCCCCTTATACGACGGTGTGTACTATTAAACGATTATGAGACGATCTATTCAAATATTCTCAACGCACCCACCCCCGCATAAACGTTCCTACCGAAAGAATATCTAGCAACAGTCCCCAAAACCTCAGTACCTCACTTTAACCTACAATTCTACAACTCCACTCCTACAATCCCCACCACTAGGCACTAACCGCTGAAAAGCTGCGCCAGGTTGACGGACGGCCGGGTGGTGCACACGGTGACCCTATGATCAGCATCCTTCACCGGGTCGGCCGGCCGCGCCACCAGAGCCAGCGGCAGTCGGGTGACGGCGCGCAGCACCCGCGGCGCGCCGGACGACGTCAGGTAGCTGAGAACGGTCTCCAGCTCCAGCGAGGGAACGGCGTGCGGCTGCGCCAGGTACACCACTGCCTCGATGTCCGTGGTGGTCGCTGCGGAGGGGAAAGGAGAGAACCCAAGGGTGGTCATTGACTAGGCATAGTAGGAACGTGCATGGTTCCAAAAATGCTCTTTAAAAAAATAGAACGCAGAACATTCCGCCATAAAAAACAAAAAAGTTACGATCAAATTGATGCATACCTACTAAATGGATCATATCATGGAATAAACGCACACCTCTGAACTCAGCAAAATAAAATGCTTGTGGAATGCTTAAACCATAACCGCATTAAACGTGCGAAACGCCTCTCAGCGTCTGTAGCAGTACTCACTGAGTGACTCGATGCCCGCCGATGGTTTGACGACCACCAGTGGACTGACCACGTCAAAACTGAGGACCACCGACTGAACGGGCGCTAACGGGGTGATGAGGGCGCGGATACTGGCGCACGGTACCTGCGGAGAGGGGTTTGGAGGTTAGTGCGTGATAAAAACGGTACCAGCCGCGACTGTCCATACGGCAATGAGAAAAACGGCATAAGTCACAAAATGGGGAAAACGTTGGTGAGAATCAAGGCGAAGCGCCACACATCATGGCACCAAATGAACAACCCCTCTGTACTTTTGGTCTACTTTTGAGGGTAGGGTGCAGGGTCCAAGACTGGATGTATTTGGTCCCGTACCAGGTGAATATGACCTCACGTTTTGACGGCTGATGTAACCTGCCGTTCCAGTAATTCGGGATAGATTTGACCAATGACCATCCATACCTGTTGGTCCACCTCTGTGGGCAGTGAGCACGGGTCCAGCACCGGATGAATCTGTACCACCAGCTGGACGTCCTCTCGGTTGGCGTCCGCCGCCGCCAGACCAGTCTCTGCAAGGAAAGAAAAAAATATATAAAAAACGTGCTGTCTGCATGTAGTGAGTATTGACCGGGGATGACATATTCGTCGATATAAGAAGTAATAAAAGAAAGGTTTGGAAAATATCACGGATTATGCTGATCAACCCCAATATGCCAACGTTCACCAAGCTTTATCATGAAACGTAACTAAAACAGCAAACGACTCCACACGAGCTTACAGTAGCCCCACAAGAACTGTTATCCAGAATCCATATGGCGTTCAGAGCACGGCAAGCTCCTCTCACCTCTCAATCTCCCCACTCTCACCGTCCTGTTTCTGCGACCGCTGTATGACCGCCGTCAGCGTGGCCAGCTCCTCATCTAGCGCCTCATAGTCGAGCGCTCCGGCCGTCTGCACGGGAGGGGCCACGAACAGTGACGGAGTGGTGCCCAGATACGCCACCACCAGCTGTCCTCCAGCGGAGAGGAGCGCCAGGAGACCCGAGAGCTGCCGCAGACGCAGCCGGCCCACGCAGACGGGTATGAACGGCAGCTGGGCAGCCCAGCGCAGTGTGCCGCCCTCGTACACGTGACCGACGCTGGTGTGACTGGCAACGAGCGTGGTGAGCCGCCCCGCGTCTGAAAGAGGGGAAGGGTAAAAAGAGAAAGTTGTGGTACACAGGTGTATAATCATCCGCAGGTCTGCGGATAATATTTCAAAGAGTTGAGTTTGTAGACAATGTAAGGCGTGACAAATGACTTTATCGCTTACTAAATACGGTACATTTTACGGGAAATGGTCGTGTTGAAAGTTCTCAGACTGCTAGAATCGGCTCAGTCATACGACTGACCCTGCGTCTGATTCGAGACCCACAGGCTACAACACAATCGAGCGAGCAGCTTACCGTTGACGAACGTAGTGAGACAGGCTGGATGGTAGTCGAGTCTTTTGAACAGCACAGGCTGTCCAGCCTCCTTCAGAATCAGCAGGCTGTGTTCGGCAAGTACCGCCAGACGCACATCGCCCGACGGAAGAGTCACCTGGTAGCGACATGGGGAGTAGGAGATAACGGTAGACACATAGCGGTGACACGGGGAGTTACAGCTGACGCTTCAGCGATACAGGAAGTAAGTTGAATCGATGGTAGACATACATGATGCAGCGACCGAATAAAGCACTCAAGCCGTGAAAATACTTAGAGGCCTCAGAGGTGACAATATGAACATCTGAGCTCAGACCTAGAGGCAGAGCAGGAAATTTGAACATGAAGCACGAGAGCCACAGCAGCAGAAGAGACTTGGCGGCCGAACAGAAGCCGAACCCACCTGCTGTATGTCGAGCGTGACCTCCCCCACGTTGTAGGTCCAGTCGGGGTAGACCCGTTTGCCGGAGCCAATGTCACCGCTCGACTTCTCGTTGGGGTCGGAGCCCTGTGCCAGCGACGAGTATCTGGAGGGGGAACGAGATCGGTAAATGACTAAGCACTTGACAGCAAACAAAACCACGGAAGGAAGTCGAAAGGAAGTACCTACAGGGCGGTGTCCATGTATACTCATTCACGATGAAACGATATAGGACAAGTCAATGCGTGAAATAGAACAAGTCAATGCGTGAAATCAAATAACAAATCATGACAACGGAAAAGCTGCGAACACTCAGGTCTAAGTCACATGGTATGACTAGTACAACCAGTCTTCCTTTATCCCTAGCTCACCAATGATAATAATTGTGCCGCTTAGCTATTTCAACTCCTCCGCCGTAACAGCGACCCGCACCACCCAAATCTATCAATGACAAACTCGACACCCTGGCGCTCAGTTAATCTTACTTGTACGCCTCGACCGTCCAGCTGGAGGTGCCCGTCACCACCGAGTCCGTCTTCTGCACGTAGAGGATCGGGCCGGGGATCAGATAGCCGGGCAGGAACCGGCTGAACGAGTAGTTTTCCTGCTCATAGAACGACAGCGTGCCGTCCAACGACTGGATGCTGAACAGCTCCTGAAGATGGAGACAGGAATATGGTTACAGAAGTTCGATGGTAGAAAAAAGAGAGTACGGGCAGTACCTACCTACAAGAGCTTAACCGACATATTCGTGGAATTCATTATTTTGCTTTCTGTAGCATCAACAAGATTCGAGTCTTCGAACTTTATGAACGGCCAACAGCTCTAACAATAATGGACATAACACTCAGAAAGCAGCTCATCAGACATTGAGTATTTTAATACATCTTACATCGATTACATCGATCCACAGTACCCAGCGACATTTCAACATCGCTGGAACCAATAAACAAAACAATGTGCCATCCACCATCATCGGACGTAGGTACAGATTACGTCGTCCTCACCTTATTTTTCGATCCGCCGAAGAACCCGGAGAACATGTTGAAGGCAGACCGTTTGAGCCGGTGTGAGTAGACCGGGTTGAGGGCGTAGTGTGTGCCGTGTTCGACCGCTCCCGCCGCCATGCTGATGGTGAAGACGGTCACCTGGAACGGCATCAGCACCGCCAGGCACGTGTCTGTCGACGAGCTGCGGCGAACACAGGCGGAGAGGTCAACCTCAACAGGCGGCGTATGGGAACGACGGTGGTGGAGGGGGAGCGGGTGGACGTTTTTTTTTTGGGGGGGGGGGGACATGCCGCTAGTGGATGTTACCACATAGTCACAGTGGACCCAGTGCCGTCATAAAACCATTAGATCATAATCAATAGGTAATCAAGGCGACGGAAAAAGTGAACAGAAGTCAATCGCACGTCAGAGATATCCGACCCACGCACGCAAAGACGTTTGCTGAATCGTCGGAAGTGTGCTCGACTCTATCTAAACACTCAGTCTACACGGAAAACGAAACATGCCCACAAAAATCCGTCCGAAATTCGCAAGCTTTCCCCAGCAAGAAAAAATGAGCATGAACCAAAACACACTGCCACTCTATCTCTCAGTCAGGGTATAACCTAACAAGTGAGGATCCTATTGACGAACTCATCTAGTATCCTGCTTCCTTCGATCCCCACTTCTCAGGACGAACCCACACATATCCCCGCTCACCCCTGACTCAGCTCTCATCCCTCCTCAGAAAACGATCCGAATCTCAGCGCGCCACTCACTGTGCCAGTTTGCCCGCCATCAGCTGGAGGGCAGGATGCTCCAGCTGCACCTCCAATAGCAGGTCGTCCGGCCGGAACCCATTCTCCGCACCCGCGTCGTCCCCGTCCCCGCGCGCGTCGTAGTTGGGCTGGTACACGCGGATGAAACCCTGGAGGGGATGGCATTGGTCAGTGATGAATTGGAGAGTGCTTATATACATGCATGAAAATTGGATGTTGACTGTCTGCTGAACAGATGCTATGAATGAATGTTGAATGTTGTCCATGCATGAGCAGAGCACCAAATGTGACAAATGTGAAATACTGCAAAAAAGTAAGTGACATGTTAAAGACTTGAGAATGTAAGAATGCATGAATGTACTGCTTCCACTCACTTCATGACTGCCAACCACAATGCGCTGGTCCTTCTGCTTCTCTGGCCCAATGCACGCCACCAGCATACAGCCAATGTCAAACGTCTCGTCTGTGCCGCACGCTGTGGACCACCACTCACGTGCCTTGAACAGTGACATTGTCTTCTCTGCTTGGCCAGCAATTCAGGTAGATCTTAACACTGGGCAGATACTCCAGAAATAGCTCCTGCTTGGAGAGAACTGGAACAACAGGAAGACCCCACCAATTATCTCAATCTACTTCCAAACAGACTGGTTTTGAGATACACCAAATGGCTAACAATGAAACGCTCCGACATTTCATTCATTGATTCCATTTGAAATAGACTTTAACAAAAATTCTAAGATGAAAAATAAAAATCTAAGTCAATAAAATTTATAAAAAATTAATTATCTATACTTCAAAATGTTAAATTCCAACCTGGCTTTAGACTTAAGCACAAATGCATCAAAACCACACAGCCCAAGCCCAGATAAGGATGACATACTTCTTTTAATGGGAACTGACATGAAATTTGAAAAAAAAAACATTTTCGAAACAAGGAAGAACCAAACACAGCAAAATAAGAAAAAATACCAACCGGCTCCACCTATTCTCGTTGTTGTTGTTGTTCTGGGTTAGGGCGCGTAGCAGCTTGGCTCTTGCGTCCAACTTCTTTTGATGGCAGTCTTTCTTCTTCTTTTCTTCTTAATGAGTAAAGGGAACTAAGCAGGGTGACTAAGCAGGGTTACGGATTTAGGATAGGTATAGCCGTGGTGTGGACTTGCTTTGGGAGGATGTAGACATGAAGGTCTCTGCCGGAGGCAGAAACGGTTAGTTTTCGGCCGTAGTTGTGGCATCCTGGTTACACTACTGGGGTTTCAGCTAGGCTACATAGACCAAAGAGGTGGTCTGGATACGGTAGATTCTAGAACAACTACTTGGGAGTGAAAACTGACTATTGTCTAACTAAACTACAGACACAATCAATACAGAGCATCGATAACACGCACTCTAATTAGTTCACCAATAAGTCACAGCAGTGTTGGACATCACAAAATCACAGTGCTTATCACATCGTCTCACAATCTCTGAGCAACACCGCATTCAGTAAGATATGCAAACACAGCATCAGTGATCAAGGGAAATTCATTTCCCAGTAGAGATCCTACATTCATCTGGACATTGGATATGAGACATTCTATTTCCAGGTTCCGTCTTTCGGCACAGAATTTCCGACAATGCAGCAAGATGTGCGGAACGTCAAGTGCACATCGGCAACGGTCACATATCGGTGGAGGTTCGCGATCAAGAATGTGTCTGTGAGTAAGAAGAGTGTGGCCTAATCGCATCCTCGTCAGTATGATTTCTTCTCTACGATTACTGCGAGAACTCGACATCCATTGGCCGACATTTGGCTTAACCTCTTTAAGGAGCGTCGGGCGGTAATCGTGCCATATCTCAGCGAACTTATCTTTGGTACTCTTGCGTACCATGGGCAGAAACTCTCTGTACCCTGCATTAACATGTGTGACATTCGGTTTCTGGTGAGACATTCTGGCCCAATGATCGGCTCTTACATTGCCTGCTACACCACTGTGTCCTGGTATCCACAGAAACCACCTATTCTCCCTATTGCACATAGCGCAAAAATGTCCAGCATTATTTTGCACATTGTTGTCATGGCAACGAAGGACCAATTTTCAGTATATTACATATAATTTATATAAATGATGTAAATTTGTTATACATTGCATATTTAATGCAAAATTTGGTTTTATTTATGATAATGATATCAACATTTGTCAATTTTTGAAGTAAAATTGGCAAAACAATAGTGTTAGATATTTTATATCGTCATCAAATCTTCGGTATCGGTCCATATGGCTTATTATGACGCAGTTCCTTCATAAGTGACGCAGCAGAAAGCGCTTGTAAACAAAACCAAGGCCCTATATACCAGGTAGGGTCGTCCGGCGATTCTACCTTTTCGTGACGTCAGCTCGTGACGTCATTTGGAGTCAAGTCTCGAAGCCCCGTTCAATCCCCATGTAAATGAGCGATTTTCGAAGCACTGTAGAATGAAGTCTGCACAAGATATATCAAACTTAAGTATCTTATCTAAAAGAGCAGACAATTTTCTGCAAGTTATCTATGACGTGTTTTTCGCTAAATCTTTTGCTTTTTTCACAAAAACGTAAAATGTCCCCCCATGTCTCCGCAGCCTCCCTGCCGCCGGCCGCCGCGCGGTCGCGGTAGTGTAGTGGTTAGCGTGCCCGCGCAGTATTCCAAAGGTCCCGAGTTCGAATCTATGCGGTGCGGAACTTTAATTGCAATTCCAAGCTGAATATACGCACATCCATAATAAATTATTATTCGTATAGCTAAACTGTCACCAAGCTATCCATATAAATTGACTTCACCCAAAATATCGGCAAGATTCTATTAAAATATAAATTCAAATATGGCGGCTTGGACTGCCGCGTGCGTTAGGCTCCGCCCATAGCTCCGCCCACATGCGTGACGTCATTCGTGTTAGTGGACACGCAGAGAGATAGGGGACGACATGGGCCTGAACAAAACAAAAACAAACGAGTCGCGCCTCGGGAATGCTAAGTGATAGGACGTTTTGTAATTCTCTTTCTCACGATTTTATCATTTGTATTTGCAAGTTTTGCTTTCAGAGTCATCGCGGGTGCTTGAATCATGGATCAACTTGATATACGCCAGCTTTCCTCGCTGCTCGGAAGCTGCGATGTAGATGAAGAGGATAGCGGCTACGTTAGCCGTAAGTCATTCGTTGCTTTACAAAATGCCTATGAATGTTACCTCATTTGTGTTCTTACAATGATGACATTAACGGTAACGATCTGTTGCCTCCTCCTCGCTGCAGGGTCTGGAGGTGCGCCGGACGCCAAGTCGGCCGCTCGTCTGGTGGTCAAATCGGGTGCAGAACTGCAGCCGGCGGCTCCCGTGGCAGCGGAGGAGCGCGGCCGTCCGGCGCCCGAGTCGATCTGGGAGGCTGACGAGGTGACCGAGGGTGCCGAACTGGACGACACGGACGATCCCCGGCCGCAGCCCGAGTACGAGATCAACTTCCGACAGGAGGTCGGAGCAGAGGACGTTTTCCTGCAGGTGGGTAGGACCGTAGGGAGAGGTGAGGGAGGGCGTTGGAGGCGAGACGGGTCAAGGTTGAGAGGTGTTGAAACAAGTGGGAGAAGGCCGGGATGGGAGGGATTCACGCAGGTTTAGGAGGGACCGGACGAGAAGTGGGATCCGGGAGGTGCTAGCGCAGGTGGTATAGATGATGGCTACTACATCTCCAATGACCAGAGTACACAGTGTCGCTCTCGCCTCGCGGTGTTTCGCTGACCCTAACTCCTGAATCCCTTCATCAATACACAACACCAGCCGCCTAACCATCCCCTCCACATGCATTCCCGACTCTTTCAGATGGGTAACAAGACCCCGGGCACGGCCAGCTGCGGCCTACTGGTAGTCCGCGTCAAACTCCCCGGCGAGACGGCCACCTCAGCCGTGGTGGACGTCCAGCAGCGCCACCTGGATGTCCGCGGTGCCGTCTGGAGGCTCAGCCTGTTCCTGCCGCACCCGGTGCGCGAGACGGCCGCTCGAGCGGTCTGGCACCCCAAGGAGGAGACGCTGGAGATGGTGCTGCCGGTGAGCAGGGAACTGGACGCGCTGAACTTCTGAGCGGAGTGGACGGTGTATAGATAGGACGCTCTGAGGGTGGAGTGATAGCGCAATCACAATAGATTGACGGAGTGCCAGGACTGGATCTTGAGTGTAAACGAGTTTTTTTTCTAGTCATGCCATATCGTATTAAAACATTAGTATTCAATCCACTGCCACTTCACTTTGCGAGACTACCGATCGGTATAAGTCGGATAAATGCATGAACATGAAAAATAAACAAACATTGTCACACGTGTTTGAGTGTGTTGTATTGAGTCCAGATCATAGTCACGCCGACAATCCGATGTATAGACTTGTCTGCTGAAAACAACAATAATTCGGCAACAGATCATTCTATGCACAATTCAATTCACGGACTATTGCAAAAGACGGACGGCCACCACTTCACACTCACAAAGTACGCACTAGTCAGCCATATCCTTGGTATTGTACGCCGTACGGGCATGGAAGGGTCGGGAAAAAGTACGTTATAAATTACACACCATCATTCTTCGAGTACCTATCTTTTGGCGTATCCCTTACTGTGTAAAGCAATAAATTAGTGCTTGGCTGCTTATCGTTAAACTAACATACGGTCACAAAACTGTGCCTTGCTAACGGAAAAATATCCCAATCTGGGATAATAAAACACTCCGGTGGGTAGGCAACGAAGTTACGGGAACACACAGCATCAAGCAGCCCAAAATCCATCCACACGAAAATGTGAGTCTGAGCGGACTAACCAGAGACCTAACGAGAAACAATCCTTCTAAAACGGTAATACGGAGTACGGACCTTGTCCGATCCGGCGCTTCAAGTTTTTTTTTTTTTTAGCACAGTATCATCAGCACCAGTCGAAGATACAAGCTCTCCGTCTATGTTATAGATTTCGAATGTCTATGAGGTATATCGACACGTCATATTTCCGACATTCAATCGACCGAGCTTCGAAACGGCAAGATAGGGCGAACAAATTGTGGGAACAAATAACCGAAAAGCTATTTTGAGATTGAAGAATAAGATTGGTATCCTGATCAGCAAATGTCTCGAAAAATGCATGTTATCGAGAAAGATAAAAGGGTCGTCAATCTTAACAGCATCTCATGTTGTACCCCTCTCTCGTACACACCTGACCCACATGCGTACACACCGCACACCACACGCCTTCACTCAGCAACGCCACAGCCAAGTACTCCCACCTCCCTCCCGCCTCACACAGCAGTTTAACGGGAGCGTGAAGCTTAGTCTGCCCTCCTAGTACGGCTTGACCGGCGTGTACCTCAGCCTTGCCACCTCGCGACACGCCGACTCGATATCTGGGTACCGGTACTGGAAGCCCAACTGGAGCGGCCGGCGGGGCAGCACGCGCTGACCCTCTACCATCATCCTGGCGCGCGTTTCACCGAAGGCGAGTCGCACGGCGGCGGCCGGTAGAGGGATCACGCCTGGACGGTGCAGCGCGCCCGCTAGCGCCGCCGAGAACTCGCCGTTTGTTACCGGCTGTGGAGCCACGCCGTTCAGCACGCCAGACACCTGGGAGTGGGTGAGGGAACTACAGTTAGCGGTGAAGGGTGAAGCGTGGAGGACGGGGTTGCTGGCAACGCTAAGATTTGCGTTGGCAACCAGCACCGCGAACTGCGAACTAGCACCTGCTATGACTGGTCCCTGCGTAGATTGATTTAACAGGAATTGAGGATTCGGAGACAAATACGCGACTAAAATTTAATGCAAGCATTCAAATTTACTGAATGTGCATAGCGTCATATTGAAGCATCGACAAAGACATTAAAATCAATGAAAAGATATCTAATCAATCTCTATCGCTGTAGCCATTCCAGGTAATTTAGTGGTGCAGCAGTTGCCGCACAGACACCTCGCCTGCTTTTACCGCTCACTGACCTCGGGGTTCTCGATGGCGAAGATGAACAGACTGACGATGTCGTCGATGTGGATCCAGGGGAAGAACTGCCGTCCGGATCCGATCGGTCCGCCCAGACCCAGGTAGAACGGCATGAAGATCTGCTGGATCATTCCGCCGTGCCGGCCTAGCACAACGCCTAGCGAAAACCGGGGAACGGTTGGTAAAATGGGATAAGACGGTAATTAAAAGGGACGCAATTTGCTTTCACAACTTACGGACTTGGCACCGAATCAATCATTTTCTAAGCATACCTGATATAGAATAATCCAACCTAAACGATTCTGACCACGCGACTCGTCTCACGTCTGCGTCAATCTAACCCGGCCGACCAGCGAACTCCGCCTCCCCGAGTCTGACCGACCTGATCGGATAATAACGCTACGCACACCGGCGTCTTCCACGCCTCGGGCCGCCTCCTCCCAGGCCGTACACAGCCGGCCCATATAGTCGGCCTCTCCCCCTGCGCTTTCCTCGTTGTACTCGGCAGTCTCGCTGGGCTCATAAAAACCTGAAACGTCGGGACGACGCGTAGATGCATTTATAAACATTCTTTCCAAGATTCATAAAGCACACGTCTTTGGCATTCATGAATCATGGACAATGTCATTGAGAAACAGCAAGACGTTCAATGTCGGATACAATCACTTACAAGCTTGCAACTAAAAATTACGACACTATTTCGCGATAAATTGTGCATCTATCCACAAGACCACTTAAAAACAACCACCCTGTCATCGGCAGTGCAGACACGGTATCAGCTATCGTCTCTCCTCATCCCATCCCTCGGCCAACTGACCTACGCCGGAAATGGAGACGAACACGTTCGGTTTGACGGGAGCCGCGCTGATCACCTCCGCCAGCGAGCGGGTCGAGTTGACGCGCGACGCCCACACGTTCTGTCGGAAACCGGGCGTCCACCGGCGCAGTGGGTCGAGCACGTTCTGACCGCTCAGACCTACCACGGCCGTGGTGTTCTTGGGCAGGCCCGACTGACTCAGCTCGCTCTGTGGGTATGAATGGAGTTAGAAAGTTTTAGTCTGCAAACAGAATTTGTCATCCACCCCAACACACTAGGAGTTCCACCACTCCTCTAAACACCTCTCTTCCTCACTCACTGACTGTGTGTCACCAAAAGACCCATTCCAATGTCAGAGACTACAACCCATTCAGGTCCCTCAGAGCACACTCCACTTTGACCTTTAAGCAGCTCAAGTCAGTGCACCTGCCCTCACTCACCCAAGTCATCCTGTAAGGGCCAGGCTTCCTGGAGACAATCATTACATCATAGCCTCTCTTCCTGAGCTGAGCAGTCAGCGAGGTGCCAATGAACCCGCTGCCACCTCCAACCAGAACAGTCCCCAGCCTTGACTGTGACATTGTGCCTGAAACAAACAAGGCCTCAGGGTCAAGCCTCAGGGTCACCTCGAACATAACAAATTGACATTTTAACAAGCATGCATTTTCACATAAAAGGAAATGAAAAGGTACAACACTGCACTAGCATATTTGACTGATATCCCACAGTCCACACATCAGAACTTAGGTGGGAACTTCAATTGAACGTACACAGCAAGAAGGCGCTTGCCACCCTTTAAATAAAAACGTCCTTTCTATTTCACCTGCAGGATGAATTTAATATAAATTAAGCAACACCCCCCTTTAAGATTGTTTATTATGTAACACTGCTTCATCCACTTTGAATTGTTTTTATTGTGCTGTGGTATGTTCGGTTCGGACTTTGTAGGGACTTATTTCATAGAAAAATAGCGACTTAATTGAAACTCTCTCAAAAAAAAATTATATTTTAATGCGAGAAATTTTCAAACTTTTTGCTTACTTTATGCCTTTATGCTTACTTTAAGTCACAGAAAGTCTTATGTGCATACGCTACATAATTTGTAAGCGTTGAGATGAAAGCGTAGCGCAAATTTGCAGCAGCGTAACAGCTTGAGAAGTAATTGAAATATCCCTAGAAGTGCCGAAAGTCTCTAGATAATTCACGAAAAAGTTTTAATGACGAACTGAGACATTTGTGAATGCCGCAAAATTGCACACCAAAAAATTGATGTGAGATAAATGAAGAGATAATTGTGGATTTTTTTTTCGAATATTTGAACAGTAAGGCGGACATTTAAGGTATTTTTCATGTAATGTACATCAACAGGTAACATAATGTTGAAGATACCATTCGTGATGCTTTGGTATTTAATTGTCTCAAGCATTTGAAATTCTTTCATTTTCATGATAGTATGATAATATTGATGAATTCCTACCTATGTTGATGTAGGTACTTTGATTGAAAACAAAAACAGATTACAGTACTTACTTAACTAGAACATAGCTAGTTGACAACTCATCATTGCATTCAAATGATCAATTTAATGCATATATTGATATAGAGATCAAAGAGCTTCAACTTGATGCTGGAATATATTATGTAGTGTGACTGGTGACATTACAATTTGGTGTAATTTAATTTGATTATTCCTTGATCAGTCCCAGTACTGAATCATTCATAATCTAGTGCATCTACCTAGCATCTACAAACATGCTACCTACCTCCCCAACACCTTCTTGAAGAATTTTGCCCAACTTCCCTCCATGTTCCCTATCACCAAGTTCAACATGTCTAACAGTTAACAACCTTGTACAAAATCACCAAATCAGAATAACATGACAATGCTGACAATGCCGAGCTCTGATCTGTTTACAAATCGATCATCTTTTAGGAAGTGTGTATTGGCGTTTCTTAGCTCTCGGTGAGCCCTGTACATAAATGTGGCATTTTTTATTAGTGTTATTTGTGCTTTTACTTTTTAACTCCGTCTTTTATTGGGTTTTGTGCCTGTTGACGGTTTCAATAAATACAAATACAAATAAATACAAACATGAGGCACCCTGGTACATTATTGGAAGATGACTCAAATATTATAATGTAGGTACAATGTACATTCATGTGCAAAATCTGGCTGGTATTAGCACACTGCATGACCTGTTACACAAACACAGGCCCTAACATAGTACATACCCAGGCCCATCTTCAATCAGTCACTTCAATTTGATAAATGTAGGTAGGTAATACTTTAGAAGCAAAGGCTGAGTATGGGCTGGTAGGTATTAGGTAACCCATTTATCCCATTTGTTAGACAATACTAGTTACTACTGGTCACAGGCTTGGCAATGCCTTATGAACCTTTCCATAACTGGAGACTGGGGAGTATCTACAGGCTAGTGTGCTGTGCACACTTTGCATAACTTGTATCATGCGCAGCTATTGTGGCCTTAACAAGGCTGAAATGTGACTATTTTGTGGATTAGGGTGGGGAACAACATCCAAATGAAAATTATTGTCTGCTCTCACTTCAAGTTTTCTAGAGCAACTTTCTTTTTCCAACTTAACAAAGGCAGATTATCAATTGCTTGGATGGGCTGATGCAAAACATTAAATGATTAATGGAGTCACACTTGTGTAAAGTCAAAATAGCAATTGTTCATCACATCTTATTGTGACCCCTCTCTATTTTTTTTTCCAGAATTCATCCTTTTTCCTGTCAAGTTGAGATAGACACCAAATGCAATTTTTATCTCAACAGTGACCACTGGCTAGCTGATACCTTACCAACCTATTCCAGCCTAATGACAGGACCATTCCTTTCATGATAGTATCATGATGGTGAGATAACCTAACATGGAGGTAGCCTGTACAGTACCCTACCTTCACAGGACACCTTATGCCCTATAAGCACTTTTTTCTACCCACAGAGCTGTGGCCAGTTGGCCGGGGCAGCCACCATGCCGCATACGTCCGCCCCGCGGCCGCACTCTACCGGCTCCCCGGGTCACAGCCACGGCCACAGTCACGGCCATTTCGCCGCGGCGCGACAGAGCGCCCTCAGCGAGTGTTCGCCCCGCCACAGCCACCACGAATGGCAGGCCAAGGAGGTACGTTCGACCGTGTGGGCCAGCGACCAGCGACGGACAGGTTGATATTTTGATGGCTAGGAAGGACTCTGACTCACGATTGATTAGTTCATTTGTGATTTGGAACGCTCAGTAGATGTGCGATAAGGCCGCGTCTCAGTCGTCTATCCTACTGTCGATGTGTTGCATGATACTGCATTTTGCCGAGTGCCGTATTCACGACCGTCCCGTTCTCCTTTGCGCTGACGCGTTCGGGTCCTCCTGAATGACACTGACAGTGCTGTCTGTCGGCTTCCCTGTTTGGGATCACTCCTGACTTTTTTGTGTGGAAGCGCTGGTAGGCTCTCCTTTGCTTCAGCGCTGACCGCGCCGTTTTTTCTCGCAGGAGCTGCGCACCCAGGAGCTGGAGGAGGCCAAGGCGCGCGCCTCGCAGATGGAGAAGACGATGCGCTGGTGGTCCGACTGCACCGCCAACTGGCGCGAAAAGTGGAGCAAGGTGGGTCTGGTGGCGGGAGAGGGCGAAAAGACCAACGGTTCCTCAACTACGTCTGGGCGTTCAGGGAGGTAGAATTCATGGGGAAGTGGTATTGCTTTACCTTGCAGTGAACTCAAATTTTTGTGTCTTGCAACTGCGTCTGGGCATTCAGGGAGGCATAATTCATGGGGAAGTGGTATCGCCTGATCTTGCAATGAATGTAGCAACTTTTGTGTCTGTTCTCACCTGAATGCTTCTGCTTTGTATACAAACCAAAACGACTTAAAGTTGAAGCGCATTCGTTCCTGGTTCTTGTGCACGATGACGAACGCAGTACTTTTATATTCGCTAACCAGCCTACACTATACGACAGGTTCGCGCTGAGCGGAACAAGGCGCGCGAGGAGCTGCGCTCGGTCCGGCTCCGGCTGGAGACCGCTCTGAAGGAGACGGCCGCCGTCAAACGGGACCGACACGAGATCGAGGCTGAGAACGAGTCTCTAGCCGCCGAGCTGGGCCAGCTAAAACGCCTGCTGTCTCAGCGCTGTGAGTGTGGCGGTCCGCTGGCGGTCGGCGCGCCGCCGGACCCGCTCACGGAGCGAGCCGCCGCCGCGTTCGGCCTTCCCGAGTTCCGAGTCTCGGAGGCGGAGCGGGGAGCGATCCCCAAACAGCGCCCGCGCCCGGTGATGGAGCCGGAGTCGGTGTCAGCAGCGGCGGTGGTTCCGCCCGGGATGGTGGTAGGCGCGCCGGTGCTGACACCCACCCCGGTGGCAGTACAGACCCCGGTCCCTGCCGTCTCTCCTGCAGTGTCGCCCGCCGCCCCCGCCTCGCCCACGTCTCCAGTGGCCACGGTGGAGACGGCGTCCGTCCGACAGCGGGATGCGACCGATAAGGCGCTGCAGCTCGAGCGGGAGTGAGTAACACTTCCCACTTAAAACCCAGGTCCGAGGGAGGATGCTATCTTGATTTGTGGTAAATGATGCCCATGCTTGCGAATATAGTTATCAAAATATTGTTTGTCGCGAAGATATTTGAGGAAATAGCGATAAAATTACCATAACTAACACGCAATGCACATTTCTTACATTTCTCATTTCCGTTCCTCCCTGACGCCACTGTCTAATGCTAAAATCGTACTATGTTTCGTGTTCCACCGCATCTGTTATCTCCACATCACCCAGCTTTCTGCCTGTGTAGGTTTGTAGTTAGATGTTTTCGCATTAACCCTCCGCCCCTATGTCCTCAGCGAGAAAGCAGCCCTGCAGCGCACCGTCGAGTCTCTGCGTCAAGACGTATCAGACCTTCGCTCGCGACTGGACGACGTGCGCCTCTCGCGCCAGGAGACCCTCAAACAGCTGATGGAGCTGCGCGCGCAGCACGAGAACCAGCTGACCAGCATGCAGCTCGATCTGAGGGACGAGACGTCTAGCCGTGAGGTGAGTCAGTGGGGAGGTGATTGCGAGGAAAGTCGATCACAGGGGAAGGTGGGTGCAAGGAGAGGAAACCTGTAAACTCAAGGGAGTACGCAAATGGAACTGGAAGATTAGGTGGAAGCTACACACTGAGACACGCGTGATAAGTCCATAGATCAGCAACGCTCATTACCCTCTGTTTTCATTCATTGTCTGCTAGTTATATCTAGCCTTGCTGTTTTGTTGGCGTCTTTACTGATCACTGACCAGTCTGACCCTCCCCCTCCAGGTCCGTGATCTACAGCTGGCCGAGCTGCGTTCCGAACTTGAGCGTCTACAGGCCGAAAACGCCGCCGAATGGGAGCGCCGCGAGCGTCTGGAGACGGACAAAATCTCCGTGGAGCGCGACAACAAGAAGCTGCGGGCGCACATCGCCGATCTGGAGGAGCGACTGGAGAAGAGGAGTCGACAGCTGAGTCAGACGGCCGAGACGGAGAATAAACAGCTCCAGTCGGAGGTATGGGTGGGGGAGAGGCGGAGTGAGACTAGGGGAGAGGGGTCGGGGATGAAGAATGCACTAGGAGTGTGCTTGGCCAAGGGAATGGGATGCTGCCCTTCACTTTTGTGTTGTGGATAAATGGTCACTGGTATAATGGTCACTGGCTGAGTTGTCGCTGTTTAGAAGGGCAAGGGCTGTGAGAAATGAGACGGGAGAGAACGATAACGATTTTTTACGTCACTCTTAACCATATTTCCAAATCGTTCTGAAATGAAGACGATGCTCCTGCATTCACTCTCCCTGACTTTCTTCCCTCCCTCCTCACGTCGACAGGTATTCGAGAAGAGCCGTGAGCTCTCCGAGCTAAAACACGCGCACAGCAAGCTCAAGAAGGTGCTACAGGAGAAGACCACCGAGCTCTCCCACGCCATGCGGCGCGCCGAACAGTTCGAGGCCGAGGTGCGCCGACTGCGGGGCCGCGTGGACGAACTGAAGCGGGAGCTGGGCACGGTGGAGGATGAAGTCGATAGCAGCACGACCAACCAGCGGCGGCTGGTGCGCACCAATGAGGAGCTGCAGGAACAGGTGGAGAGCCTGTCCGTGCAGCTGCAGCACCTCCAGGCCAGGTGAGAGACAAGGAGACCTGGGGCAGGGTGAGGGGTGGCTTTGATGTAAGACGGGGGTGGGGGAAGGGAAAGGGCCGATCATGGTGGGAGGAATAGATAACAGTCCTTGGGGAGGATGAAGATGCTCCAAGGAGAAGAAGGCTGCAGCGGGAGGTTGATCTGGGGATGACATCGGAGTGGGGGATAAGCGGGAAGTCTTGGGAGGCTGGACGGGACTAGGCTGAATTTTATTGGATATTGGGAACTGATTTGATATTCAGTCTTAATCCCAACGCTTGACACGATCGCAGCGCGCGCAGAGGCCTAAGACCCAGCTGAATCCCGAGAACTGACCTGTGACTGTCAGTCTAACGGCCGCTCTGTCCACCGTCAGGGCTCGTGCCGGCTCCTCCGCCATGCCGTCCATCAAGGATAAGATCCTCGTGGACGGCGAGACAGACGACGAGGAGCTCGGTGAGCTCTGAGCTGTGAGTTCGGTGAGGTTCGAGGTGTGAGCTCTGACCTCTGAGCTCCATGAGCTGTGAGCTCTGACGAGTTGTTGGTGGCTCCGACTGGCCGATGAGCGTCGTCAGGCGTCGTCTGCTCTACAAATAGACCACTACGGCATGTGCGGCCCGCACACTCACGGCCACCAGGTCTGTCTCTCTGTGTTGTTTTGTTGTTGGAGAGCCCGTCAGAGTTGTTTGACGTGGCGACTACCTATACCGCCAGTGGATGCGGTGTTCTCAGTTCGCAGGTGTCGGGGCAGAGGCTTATTAGTCGGTGGGCGGCTGTGGAGAATTCTTAGCTGGGTAGGCGCGGTCGCGGAGGCAGCTATACTTAACGCTTATACTGACGTGCCACGGGATAATAGGGCAGCTGAGAGTACCGGGTGACAATAATTGTGCTGGTCGTGAACGTACCTGTTAGTTGTGGCGTGCTGTTGGCGAGCCGAATCGACTCAGCAGTGGGGTAATGGTTAGCTGAGGTGTACCTGTGAGCCAAGTTGGCTGAGGTGTACCCATCAGCTGCAGTTTACGTCCTGTGGGCTGTTTGCCGCAGCCGTTTCGGTCGGTGATACGAAGGGCTTTTGTTTGATGTTTGGTGCGCGGCTAGCTGTCTCTGTTTGCTGTTTGATGGGCAATAAGTTGGCTCTATGATTGCTGTCTGGTGCGCGGCTAGCTGTTTGCTGTTCGGTATTCGGCCTGTCGGCTTGTTCGCCAGCCGCGCGTCTGGCGGAGTGGGTTCTGAATGTGCAACTGCCTCGACTGCTGCCGGTCTTTTTAACTGTTTTGCTATATTTATTTGGCAGTTGCCGTTATATTCCTCATGATTCTTTTTCCTTGCACGGTTGTTTTATATTAGCATTATTGGCTAAGCGGACTTCGACTTTGCTAGAGTCCGTTGAAGCACCACATGATAAAGATTTGAACGAGCTGAAAGGCAACTCGTGGCATTTTGCTTTGTCTTTGTATTTTGGTAATTGTTTGCTAAGATATTGGTATCAGTTTGAGCGACTATGTGAGATTATTCATGCTGCAAAGCTCATACAATCATTAGATAAACGTGTGGTGTTATTTTTACACTAATTGATGTCATCCAGCGCTCATTTTCTTCAGAACGTTTCTGTATATATCGCAACGATTTTCGCACGTCTCACGCATCACGCGTATCGTTATCTCTAGTGTCATGCACAATATGGTGTTGTCTATTGGTTCGTGATACGTGTAGGGTCATCTCGGTCATCCTAACAAAAATCAACTGTTCACCTGACCTATAGTACTTAATCCCTCAACCTGATCTATGATGGGTGGACCGCTCATGCTGCGTTTTCGTTCAACCGCAGCGTCCCATCCCTTTTCGCGCAGCAGCTCCTGGCCTCTCGAGTGAGCCACCGATTGTTCTGGAATGTTCGTATCTGTATGCATTTATCTGCCACTCCAGCTGCGAATGGAAGGTTGGTTCAGGCGCTGGTGGGGTCTCCCCAGACGTGGAGATCTGTTCAGATTGTTGTGATGGCAATACAAAACCCTTTATTCTCAGCGGCTTTGTAGAGTTACTGCGTGAAGCTAGCTCGAAGATGATTCGCTGAGTACAACACAGACTAGATTCAAGTCCTAGAAACACATCCACATCACTACTCAAAGCTCACAACTCTGTATTAACTAGAGACCATCATTTCACAGTGCCCACTCAACGCATAACATGAACAACCCTTTGGATTAATAATTCGTGTACAATTCTCCCGTTTTACGCCAGTACTGGCGATTCACATGCTCTACAAGTCAACAATCACAGAAAGCTCGTGCTGCTACAGTTGCCATGACAACCGGTGGCAACCAAAGGCCACCATCCAATCACAGACTAGGACACGGACTGTAGCGGTGGTGAGAATATCCCATACTACATACATAGGCAAAGTCGCGCTGCCTCACTGCAACCTTGGCTCCTAATCACCCGATCAGGTAACGACCCATGGTAACCCTGGCGGACACTCAGAAAATGGCGAGCGATATGCTTCTGGGGATTGGAAACACTGCAGAAGCTGTCGTCAAAGAAAATCGATACGCTGTGGCGCCTTGGGAAAGATACGCGCAAGGAAATCACAATCACTGAGTAATTGACAAGCGAAATCGAATCTCATGCGTCGGTGATGGCACCAAGTCTGGAGGCACACAATAAGATGGAGATCTGTCACCACTACCACAATGGAGGCGTGCGTGCCTCTGAAAATGGCAAGCAATGCCACAACAATGGACGATCACATAGCACACCAAGCTCGGTCGAAGCAGACCGAGTGACCAGAATTCACGTAAAATTGTGGTCAACCCTTGCATTGCAATAGGTAAAATAGGTGCGATGGGGCTGACACAAGGAGTGGGCCACTTCCACATTTCCTTTCTCAAGACTAAACACTTTTGTTTGGGCACGTCTTGTCGTGACCCCTGGCCCGGTGCGTTTAAAGCAGTAACTTCTTGAGCCACGTTCCTAATCTCACCCCGAGTAATGTCCCACTACTCGGCGAAAGATAGCAGCAGAGGGTACAAAAACCACGCAAACTCCACCTAGGCTACGTCCATTCTTCATACTCATTCCCATACACCTGGCCATATTGGTACTACCGCCTGAACCGCGTTCATCATACCCACTCGTGACTCCCCTCACACATGCTCGTCCTCAACACACCTCACCTCATACCTTTACTCACTCCCGTTCAATCCTTGGCCACCCACACCCGGCTCACACCCTAGCACACCTCCTCAATCTCCCTCACTGTCCCTCTGTCCAGCCACCGCGCCGCTCGACGTGTCCTCACAGCCTCCTCAGTGCTCACTCGAGTTTAATCCCCTGCGAGGCACTCCCTCCTACCACAGACACTTCAATCTCCCCGCCGCCCAGCCGGTCCACGCGACTGCGGCGCCGCTCTGTAAGCACAGATTCCACCGGCGACCACCAGGTGGCACTGGTGAGCACCCGCGCGGCTCCGTGCAGTATCAGCAGGAAACACGATGTTCCTGTGGCGATCACGTGGTGGGATATGGAGAATCCGATGTCCTGCCACGACCCGGCGTCGGTGACGAGGAAGAAAAAGTGGACGGACATGACGTCTGACATTAGTAGCACCGTCAGGAACAGACGCTGGGTCGACATCTGGGGGAGGGAGGACGCGACGGGACGTCAGACTCAGTGGTAATGATGCTGTGGATTTTAAGCTCCCGAGGCGAACAACTAGCGTTGCTCCTCGGTAACCGACTCAGTTCCTTGAAATTAAACATCTGCCATTTAAAGACTACCTTCTCTGACCCTTTTCCCTCCCCTGTGAGGTCTTACAACAAACAGTCCCAGCTCCCCTTCCCTGGCGTCTCACCCTGGTCACAGTAGCCACCGCTCTCCCGTAGCAGCAGACCAGCAGAAACGGCACCAGGATCTTGGTGAGCAGCAGCGCGCCCATCACCCACGGGCTGAACACGGTAACAAACGCGTACACACAGGTCGGGTCGAAGGAGTTGACGCTGGCAATGTTACCGATACCGAAGAACGCGAACATGACGAACAGCAACTGTGTGACGGGGTGGTTAAGGAAGCAGAAAGACGAAGATATGAGGGCAAGGGACGGTGACAGCATGGCGATAGAGACCTTCTATCTATCCCCATTCCCATCATGAAGAAAGTTGAATTAAGAGTTAGATGGGATCATGGAACAACACCTATCGAGAAGAAACATTAAAAAAAAGTCATTTGTAACAGCAATACCATGTGACGTATGGCACTGACAAACGTACATAACGATTATGTTTAACACTCAGCAAAGAACATCGACCCATCAAAATCCCTAAATAAACACAATGCAGACCAGCGAGGACTTGACCCTTCCCCTCTCGCCCCCGTGACTCTCCCCTGTCAACTCTGAGACATCAGTAAGGATACGTAGAAGAAGGCCCTGCGTGTGTCGCCGAACTGGGCCGGCCGGCGGGCCTCGTTCTTCCTCAGAGGGTCGTCAAACGACAGCTCCGCCAGCTGAGGGAGGGAGGTGAGACTGGTTAGACACGGTTAGATACAGTTAGGCACGGTCAGATAAGGTCAGACACGGTCAGATTGGTCGGGTCAGAGATTGAAGGTCGGAGGATGGACACCTGCTGCAGGTCTGATCAGAAACTATGTACAAGTCTGGGAGAAGTGAAACAGGGGAAGGTTGGGTGAGAAGTCGGTGCAGAGACTACCATACTGATCCAGATAGCAGTCTGATCAAGACAGACGAAAAAAAATGCCTGGACACGACACGACAAGCGATCATCTTAACTGATCCCAACTAGACACCGGCATATGAAAGAATGAGCATAATAAGAAAATCGTGTTATTTCAAAAGACAAGAACGACTTCAACCCAGTAACTCAAGAGACCTCGAAGCTACACAAGCTAAACAAACGTGACGGAGCTTGCCAAGTTCCAACCTCCTCTACTATAGCCACTCCCTCCGCCGGGTTCCCAGCCGTCACATCCCTCGCACCTGTTTCTGTTCGGAGGTATGCTCGAGCCGTGTCCACGAGTAGAGGTGCAGCGCCAGCAGCGGCAGAAAGAGCGCCTCCCGGCCGAGACTGAGCAGCAGGAAAGGGACCAGCAGCGCGGCCGTGACGTGCAGTAGCCGGTTCAGCAGCCAGGCCGAGCTGAGGCACGGCAGCAGCCACGACAGAGCTGGGGGAGCGGGGGAGGGACGAGGGATGCGGTTAATGTAAGGCAGGGATGACTCAGCAGTAAACGCGCTACTACATTTTAACTAATAAGTAATGAGGGTTCCATATAATGAACAGTAAGAAGTTGCAGCTTCACTGAACGCTGATTTATGATCAAATAGAATGTATTCCCTCCCCATTATTCACTCGGCATAGCCAAAGAGCTGAGGTGGATGCCCGTCTCTTCGTCTTTCAGCCCACACTCAATACGGCCCAGACGAATGACCTATCTCTCAGTCACCTACCCAGCATGGTCCAGGAGGCCACGTGTACGAATCCGGGCACGGCGGAGCGACTCCCGACGGCCGACTGTACGGCGTGAGTAACTCCGGCGGCGGCCGCTAGGAGCGCCACCTGCGCCAGCAGGATCAGCCGACAGTGGCGCGGCTCACGGAGTCGGTCCACCGGTCGGAACAGGCGCAGCTCGCCACTAGAGATGGGAGAGGGGACATCATCAGACGTGAATGACAGTTTGGTGAGAAACTAGCAGAAAAATGAAACGCGCGAACGTATCCACAGACCACACTATTGTCGGTGGCTTATTTGACGGTCAGATATGATTGAAACAGGTAAATTATGGCGAAAACGATCGAATCAGCAGAGCTATGCTTCATATTAGATCGATGTCAGCATGTGGCCGAGTCCACGTCCAATCCCAATGTGCAAGCCGAAAGGAGACACAAAAAGCATAGTGGAATTACACCGCACCGTCCTGTTCCCTCCCCACCTCCTCAGACCATACTCAGCCCGGCCTGCCCCACGCCACCACCGTGCGTTACTCACGACAGGGAGGCCAGCGCCACTCCGCCAGCCGAGAACATGGCTGCCGCCTTCCTGCAACAGTCAGACATATCGCGGTGACAGCTACGGAAACGGTACTGGCGGGGGAGGAGTGGTAACTATGGACAGAGGACAGAGGTATGTAGAAGTAAAACACGTTGGTGAGGCGGATACCCACAGAAAAGGTACGGAGACACGCAATATTAAGTGAGCAAACATCACAGATATATCTCTTACAATTCCTTTACTTATTGATCCGCCAAACCAGCCTGTATAAAACGGCACTTTTATCAATTATTAATGTCTGCGTCGTATGATGATCAACACAATATCACCAGGTACTCACACGAGCAGATAGTTGGCCTGGTGGGTGATGACGGGACTAAGCGGAAACCCCGCCAAAAGTACCGACGATCCCACCCACAGTACGGTGAGTCTCTTCCTGTACTTTGGCAGGGTGAGAGGCCAGGGTGCCAGGGCCAGGAGCAGTACAGAAAGCACCCAGCGCTGGAAGAACGACACCACCTGAAAAACAAACGAGAGGAGGGTTATACACGGTTCAAAAACACCAACACCTGGACAGCTCGAGAGGGGATGAAAATTATGCACGGCCTGACGGGAGGCAGCTGGTGAGAACTCAAGATGGGACAATGCTAGCGAAAAGCATACCAGCAAAGATGGCGTCGAGCGAGTGCAACGTCTCTTCGCACGTTCCATCCATCTCAGCATGTTACATAACTTCGCATGCGACGACAGAGGCCTTTCCATTCTGCTCAGAAGTCATGGTACACACAATTAATAAAACCTCTTCTCATTCAGCAGCCACAAGATAACTATCAGCAAGATAGTCCCTCGCCTGCCCTATCCCTCTTTCCCTGCCCCTCCCCCTCTCACCAGCAGCTCAATGCCGACCAGCACCGCGCCATGCCTCAGCACGGTGCCCCTATCTCCGGCCGCGGCTCTCACTGCCCACAGCCCCGACACGTCGTAGGCGAGCACCGACCACAGCAGCACCGGCAGCAGCAGGTAGACGGCG